CTGCCATGACAGCTGTGATGTTCCCTGGCGCTGCAACGCTGCCATGACAGCTGTGTTGTTCCCTGGCCTAAGCCAACACCGGCGCTGCAACGCTGCCATGACAGCTGTGTTGTTCCCTGGCCTAAGCCAACACCGGCGCTGCAACGCTGCCATGACAGCTGTGTTGTTCCCTGGCCTAAGCCAACACCGGCGCTGCAACGCTGCCATGACAGCTGTGTTGTTCCCTGGCCTAAGCCAACCCCGGCTCTGCCACTGCGTAGAGCTTCGCTCGTCAATATTGGCCGGCCGACGGCTCATCTTGCAGGCAATAGAAGCCACATTTCGATTCAGGCACACAATTCTACATGCTCGAGCAGTATCCGGTTAACGTTAATGCCATTTGATCAATCGAATTTTTCAGCAGCAAGAAGTATTTGATTTTATTTTTGTTGTTTATGTTAATTCCTCCATTTACATTAATAATCATTTAACCATTTTAATTTGCTGTACCTGCACTATCCCTCATGTATTAATTAACTACCCAGAACTCGTAAGATCCAGGATTTTGAGACGGTATTCTCAGGATTATTAACGTCCACTCTTTTCTTTGACTTGTTAGACAGTGTTACATAGTATAGGAAACACTCCGTGCTAAGATACCGGCTAAACTCATCATAAATACCGTTTTATGTTGCCGTACATAAATACCTTTGTTTGACAAATATACCGCAAAAACCGTGCTAAAATACAACAGAAACTATATTGAGTTCAGGTTCAGCTGTCTGATTGCAGCAATCGTGTTTTAGCAAATTGCCACTTGAAATCAATGTGCCAATTTTTTCAAAATGTACTCATTTTTCATCTTCGAGTGTTAAAATTTTTCGCTTGAAAAGTGAAATGATATTCAACGGCACTTTGATAACTCATCATAATTTATTCCTTGTTCATTTATTCATTTACGAAAATGGTATTTTAGTTTTTAAAATGGTGTTTATTTTTCTTTATTGATATTTGACATTATGATTGCAGACACAACCTTTCTATTCTCATTAAAATTTTAACACAGAATTTGAAGTACATTTTGGCCTCCTGTTACCCAAGACGAGCTTTGTAAAACCAGACTGGAATCATTGTTTCACGAAGTGCCGGAGAAGTTCAATTATTATTTCAACTTTACCCGCTTGCCGATTGACCTTCAGAGGAGTTCCGTTGTATCTTGACAGCGAAAGAACGCATCGTTTTTCTCTTAAGTGAGTTGGGAGGCCGGACCTCTAGATTGACTTCCCTCGGCGAGTTTTATCTGCTGGCTGCGCTCCTCTCATCCGTCACGGTAACGCAGGCGGCATGATAAGCTCTTTCCCCTCGGGATATCCCGGCAGTTCTAAGCACTTTAGCTTAGCTCTCGGTATAAATTTGAATAATTCGGATAATTCCAACGAGAACTGTTGGCTTAGCTGTTAAATACTAATATAAAGTTTCCAATCTAAGATAATGATAAATATAAGTTACGATAAAGTTTCCAATCAGCAGCTATCTCAATCAATAGTCAGTTATGGAAAGATCGGGTTCCAAAGGCTGGATCCCTTGTGAATCAAGTCACGAAAAATTCAAGAATCGGCAACAGGCCATGGGCCTATTTCTTTAGTGCCGACACTTCTATTCTATTCTAATGACATTCGCGTAATTTAGAACTTCGTACTTATTCTCGATGAATTCAGCGTCTTTGCCACAATTATATGCAAATGAGGATCTATTTCTGTAAATTTTTTCATGTCTACTATTTTTAACCTCATAGGCTGAACGTTTCAAATATAAATAACTACCACGAATTTTTTAAGGCAGAAAAATATTTAAAGCTTCCGAAAACTAAGTATTTAAGTTCAATCAATCAATCAATCTTCATATTTCTGTGATTACCTACATCGTGCATACAACTCTTTCAAAACCCTTGTTGCTGGTGAAAACTTAAACATATAAAATGTTTCTGTATGAATTCTAGATGTTCGAGCGATGTACTTAAGAAGCTGAATAAGAGTAAATTTATTCAATAGAAGTGTTTTTTTCCGATAAACTGTTTATTGTTAAATTATTCATTAATTTTCACAATTTCTGAAATAACATTTATTTATTTACGATATTTCGAATGCTACGTTTTTGATCGTATTCGGTTGAAAAAAAAAAATTAATTTCGGATCCAAGAACGCAAAAGGAAAAGCATACATTTTTGGTTTGTATCTGTTTTGTCCCAGAGTTTTCGAGTCCTTCAGCTCACGTCATATTCGCTTTGAAGGAAGGCTCCTTTCAGTCGTGCCGGCGCATTTTCTTTTATTCTCTCAGAGACGACGTTTGTTTAAGCAAGAAGTTAAGGCAGGGCAAATTACCTCTCAAGTCTTGTCCTTCATGAGCGTACAATCATTAAGAGAAGCTGTCGGCGCCGGAAAATTGCGCCGGTGCTGCCCGTTCTCTCATGCCCCGAAAATTTCTTGTTTTGCGTGTCGAAAAAATTTGAGGAAAATGATGTTTATTTTAAAATTATTTCTGCATTCACTATTGTATTAATATTATCTTATATATTGTAGTCACAATAATATTATTTTATTGTACCTATTGTGTATTCTATTATTGTACATTTAAACAAATAAAATGAAGTGTACCATAATGGAAATTCTCGCTAAACCAAAAATATTACGAATAAATAAACAAATTTGTGAATCAGTTTTTTTGTTGAATTTATGCTTCTGCATTGCCGAGAATAATAAAATGCAGTTTCCCGAGAAAAACCAATTTCGAAAGTTCCGCGTTTTAATCTCAGGGAGAGGGATGAGCTGTTCGAATTTAAGGCTGCCTGCATGTTGGACCAAAACCTTCCACGTGAATTAAATGTCCGTCATTCGTGTGAGTCAAGTCTTCGTCATATGTAAACACAGTTTAAATAATTGAAATGGAGCTTTACTTTAAAAGTCTGAGCCACTTTTCATTGAAAATAATGTAGCCATTTGCCTATACTAAACTGCAACCTGGAAAATATCTTCCTGGCGTTTTTTCGTGTGTATATGACAGCGAATTTTGCAATTTTCGGATCACCTTCCACTACTTAAACTTATAGTATATATACCAAGCTTAGTATTAATAGTAGTGCTTAAATAAAGAAGCGTAATAATTATTGACTAATTGAAGTTTTCTGCTTCAAATGATGCTTTTCCAATGGAGCAATTATATATTTTATCACCTTTACCGTTCACTAATAAAAAGTTACTTCAACGTCACCTGCTGTCATCTTCATAGTGTTGAGTTACTTGCTCCTGGAAGAATTTTATATCATCTGCTCCCTCGGAATGCTAAGCAATCTCAGTATACTTTACGTAAACTTTGAATTTAGTAAGTCATCCAGGTTAGTTTGATGAAATTTTTATATGCCTCCGCTTCATCTTAGCATATTTCGTGAGCGGGCTTCATGTGACGCGAATAAGTATGACATGTATGTATAGAATGTTCAATGGCACCCAAGATAACTTTGACATCCATTACGACCTATCTAAACTTTTTAACGCAAGATATTGCCTCGAAATCTTGAGATCCTCGCGACGTACATTTGGTGTTAGTTCCGCTCGACGGCCTCATGAATATTTTTGGACCCACAAATATTGACCATCGACTTGACATTGCAGGCGACATGGAATTTTCACCTGAAATTCTTGCACAGAATGGCTGGATTCTCATGAGGCTTGGTAATAAAAAGCGCGGCTAAGCCGAAATTTGCGTTTGAACGACAACGCCAACGCAAGCGGAATCTCCTGTCTAATTTTTTGCAGTAATTTTGTAAACGAATTCACGTGAAGTGCATGCAAAACAGCGCTGTAATATGCGTGCAAGAAAGACTCATCTTGCTGGATAGGTTCAAACAACCTGCTGACGAATCTCTCAAAATATGATAATATATTCTTTTCTGACTCAATTTTCTGATCCTAACAAATTTTTCTCGTTGTATTTAAATGTATTTGGAAATTTGAAACTTGAAGAAATCACATAATTATTTCACTATAAGGTTACAACTAGATTATTTCACTTCCAACTTGCAAAAGTTATTTTCGAGGATCTTTTGAAATGTTATTGCTAGAATATATCAATTGATTTTGCCTACGTATTTCAACTATAACCCTGACTTGTATATTAAGTATTGTGGCCTTGAACTTCCTGGCCTTTCATTGCAAAAGGACCTCATGAGCACTGAAATCCGGCGAGCCATGCGTGAAGTTACGCGATTTTTGGAGCCGTTATTGCGGTTCTCCACAATTCGCGAGGCGAGTCCGTGACCAGCATCTCTGGTGCCGACGCGGCCTCAGGCGCCAAGCTTCGCTTTTCAAGGAAAGCCATGAAAAAGTGCCACGCTGAGCATTATTGCTTAAAGGCCGTCAGATTTTTGACTGTCAAATCAGTTACCTTTAAATTTCTGGTAGGAATCATATTTCTTCGTTAGCTACAGAATCAAACGTCTGAAAGTAATTCTTTGTGTAATCACATTAGTGATGAAAGATGAACTACATTCCCGCGTGTATGTCAATTCCCGGTTCTTCGATAAAATAGGAAATAATTCTTCGATCTTTTATACTATGTCTTGTCTGAAATGCGCCTCTCGATTATAATACAAACCTTATCCTTGATCATACGGCGCGATCGTAAGAAACACATTGACTAGAAATATAGCATCACCATAAAAGATGATAGGGTCCAGTTTTTTCATGGTCATATGGGTTCATCTAGCATTGAATTGCTCTTCGTCGGCAGGCTTAGTCTCTTTACTGTGCAATCTGTTTGTGAATAAATTTTATAACCTACAAAATATAATTTTGAAATTATAAAAGTTACATTTGTGTGCCCATTTTGGATTGTAAAACCTTTATTTTAGGTCTGAATTATTCAGCACTATGTGACACTCAGCAGAAAACAACAAAGCTAGAATTAGCTTCAAAGTTTGGAACTGACCACCGCTATGGAATAATTGAGATGGTTTTCTCCCGCAGGTTCTGTGTCGGGGTCACGCAGCCTACCAGGCTCCAGGCGCTTCCTTAACACCGACCCCGCCCTGCAGGTGTGTGTGTGTTGTGTTTGTGTGTGAGCCTAATCTGCATTTCTGTGTGTATTTCAGTGTCTACTTGTGTCTACTTGGATCTATTATTTTGTTTGCCCTCCTCAATATCACATTTCCAAAAATGTTAATGATCTAATACTGTGTTTCCAGGTGTTTTTTCCAGGATCAAATTGTGCTAGTGCAGGATTTTCTTTGTAAACCTACATTGTACCACTTTTGCTGAAATTGTGTTGATCAAATATTATATTGTCTTGTGCTTTTCACGTAGTGTCTGCAGTTTATTCGACTACCTGAATACCATTGTAGCAGAAATATTTGATCTGATAAAAACAGTTAAAGGAAAGTGTTAATAATTATTGCCCCCCCTCTAAATATCCAGTCAACTGACAGGTATTTTTTTATTTAGGACACCTCTGATGGTTAACTCAAAAATACAAATCTTTTGAATTATAGCTCTAATAACATAATTTGCATTGCTTTGGTGTTTCATACAAAATCATTTGAAATTCAACTTTAAGGGTTCTATTCTATTAATTTTTATCAAATTATGGATATAAATTTTACATGAATCGGATTTGGCATTTAGTGGACAGCGCTGAACGTGCCAAGATTCCTAACGAGGCGTATACTGTATGCATAGGCATATGGGCATCAACGAACTACTTCTTATACCGTAATTTGTGATGTCAGTTGATCAGTTTAAGAGCATGTAATCTTCTATAACTTTTTATGATTGCCCCCAATGATTGTTATAACCAGTCATATATCATCAGTGATGATGCTATTGAAACACTGCCAAACACGTGACCTCGCAATCATTGCCCTCTAATGCTTGCATGATCGTATTGAATTTTGCTACAAATGGAAATCAAAGAATTATGAAACCATTGAAACTTTTATTACAGTGGTGCAAAATGAAGTGGTTCACAGAGCGAAGCCAGTGGGAAACGAAAAGCGCGTTGTGGAACTCACTGTAGTAGAATGCACAGACATTAGTTTTGGTTCAAACGTAAGAAATCGAGAACACAATATTTAAATTCAAATAAACGAGTCAATGTTTCAGGTGAACGTGTCTCTCTCTCTTCAATTCTCACCATATATTGCCAGTGACAACAGAACGTAATAATTAAGGAGCAGATCAGCTCAAATAAACAGAAGAGGCAGGGTTGAAGTCCAATTTGCAAGTAGAGGCGGTTATGTGGATTCTTATCTAAATGGGACAGATAAACAGTTTAAGCCTAAAAATAACGAATTCAAGTTATAACGCAATGGATTTCAGTATGATGCTCAAATAAAATCAGAACAATAATAACAATTGCAAGATAATCAAAATAACTAACCTATTTGATTCCGTTTAACCGACAAAAATCGGTTAAACTCCAAAGCTACAAGGAGCCAATAACCCCAGCTACGTACGGGTTTCAACCACTGGCGTGAAGCCAGTGCAATAAGATCTTAAACGAGCGAACACAGAAGTGCTAACATGCATTTAAATGGAACAAAACAAAATGAAAACACACTCGCTCAAACTCAAATTAACGTATAGAAAAGCAAGATTGAACACGAGTAGCAATTAGGTTTGAGCAGGACGTCTTCCCACAGGTAAGGTTGAAGTAATAATAAACACGATTGAGCTAATGAGCGTCGAATCTGTCTCCTAGCACGATACAAACGATAAGCGTAAACAATAATGACGTAATTAGATAATAAATTTTAACAATCGTTGGTGCAATCAATCATGACTGATGTGCTGCAATGCCCTTAAACTTTGCACAATTATTTTCTTTTATCCACTCGCGTGTGTAGGACAATCGCCGGAAATCTAATTGCCTGCTTCACGGAGATTTGTTGTGGCCGAGCTGAAGCTTTGCGTCCTTGCTTAAAATTGCGTCCCGATTCTAATGAAGATTCCTGGAGGATTCCACACTGTACAGGGATTTACCTGCACGATCAAGAGCTGTTATTTAAAATATCCTTGATTAAATTGCGTGCAGTGTTCTCGCCGAATGAAATTAATGATTCGCTTCCCTGTGTTTCAGATTTAATCGTTGTTATCATTGCTTAATGGAATTAAAGAACATTTTAAATGACGCAATCATGGAGTTGTATAAAACATAAGAACAGTTTATTTCGTCACAAAAAAGTGAACGAAAAAATGTTTTGCTTTAAAATTTATCGAAATTTGTTCCCAGAGTTTATAATGTGGGTTGAGTGCCTCTACAAACTCTTAGTATATTCCAATGTTTTACAGTGAGTTTACATCGGGACAAATTTTCAATGAATTTTACACAAAAATTGAAGTTCCGACTGGCATCTGCTCCACTTCGGAAGGTTCAGCAAGTGAATAACGAGTAGATATTCGATATCGAAATACTCAGCGACTGTTTCATAAATATTGCACCTGAAAGCCGGGTTGTCGATGTACCAGGATCGGTTTTGTTGTACCAGTTTACTGACCTGCGTCGCTGCCGTCCGTACAGCGAGTCGGAAAAGCCGTACGTGTTACATGATGCTCTTTTTCAGTATGACGCGCTTACTGGGGCAAACACAGTCCTTTTACAATCGTTTAAATATTACAATCGTTTAGGAAATTGAGATTTCCGTGAGTACTGAAGTGATAACAACGAATCAATTACTGATTTCTTTGTGTCTTATGCTGTGCAGGGAAATTTAATAAGCAGTCTGTATAGAAGTTATCCCAGTTGATTTTTTCATTATTATAATTTTTTTGTGCAATGGACTTTTAGTAAAGATCAATAATTACCGTACACCATCGGAGGAATTGACATACGAAACTAGGCTTGTGCTAACTGTATTAAAAAGTTGCAGTTAGTTGGAATAATGCTATATAACTGAGATATTAAATGAATAACTGAGAAGTGAACAAAATAGAAAGATTATTTGACGATCAGCGCTATTAACATATGAAAAAATTGCTGGGAACCTTAGGAGCTTGTAAATTTCCATTTTAGGTGCTCTTCTTTTTTCCATTCAAATGAAAAAAATGGATTTCATTTAGTCTGCTGGGAATCTAGAATTGTGTTTTAATCTATAAAAAGAGTTTCCACGTAGGCTACTTTCGGCTGCCTTGAATCAGTTCGAATTTTTACTTTGACCCGGGTTTTCCTTCGATTTCAATATTTAATTAATTTTGTCTATAATTTTACTATAATTTAGGTATTTATAATATAAGAAAATTTACTCTTAAATGCAAATTGACTTTGACGAAATCATGAATTAAGTCTGTTGAACTCCTTATGTATATTGGTGTAATTTTCGATTGCTTTAGCAGGTTATTAATTATCGTTGTGTTCCGAACAGCATAAGCTTGTTCTTTTTAGCTCATTCTATTGTTTACCTTCTTTGCTTCTTATTTTACGAGCTGGGATTTTATAGAGAAGAGAGACCTTATGATGAGTTCAGGACTTCCTAGTGCTCGGTCACGCTGATCTTCCGCCTTCGTCGTCCTCCGTCTCCGAGTCGTCGATAGGCAGGTCACCCCGCCCACGGGTCCCAGATGTAACATTGGACGTGTTCCGTATATTTTCCCTCCTTTTGGCCGGCTGATGCAAGATGCTGTTGCTTGTCACTTGCTGAGGATAGTTTCCAATAACTGAGCAATCCGGGATCTTCTTCAGAAACGTATCTAACCGTCTCTAGAAAGTCGCAAGGCAAACTCTCCTCCTCTCAGCACCTTTGGTAAGGCGTTGAACAGCCTTGATCCTACTACGGACAGTGATCCCTCACGAAGAGTCTGTCCTCTATAAGAGTCTGTCCCTCACGAAGAGTCTGTCCTCTGGTTATTGAATGGGGAATCATGCATGGTCTCCCACTCCTTTCGTTGTAATACGTCACAATTTTGTAGGTCTCACTTAAGAGTTGGGAGCCAGTCCGGTTATCATATTCCAAGTGTACAGTATGATATACCTCTCTCTTCTCCTGTCCAGTGAGTACAGTCCCAGGTGTTTCAGCCTTTCCCAGTAGTTCAGGTCCAGCTCCCTCATGCCGCTGATCCTGTACTTGAAGGTCCGCTGCACTGCCTCCAGTTTCCGCACCGCACCCGCCTTGAGCGGCGCCCAAAGCTGACAGCAGTATTCAAGATTGGGTAGCACGCGGGCTCTGAAAAGTGTAATAATTGGCGCTGCTTCTCTTGTTTGAAATGTCCGCCAGATCCGCCCCATCCTTTGTATCCCTCGCGCAATTATTTCCTCGATGTGGTCATCGAACGTGGTTTCAGTACACATCAACATTACGAGATCTCGAACAAGTTGCTTCTCTTCAATTTCTGTGCCATCTGATGCCAAGTAGCGATGTGGCATCCCGGTCTCTGTGCCAACTCTGTATCTCATTGCTTCGAACCTGGTGCCGTTGAATGGCATATTATTCACTATGGCCCAATCATAGATTGTCGACTAGTCGTACTGAACCTCTCGCAGTCTAGGTGTAACCTCTCGCAGAGACGTTACATCTTCGTCCAAAATGTGTGTCAGCGGTTGTGCCTTTCTGGCTCAACCTTTGCACTAGTGCTGTGCTGGCTCAACCTTTGCACTAGTGCCTTGCTGGCTCAACCTTTGCACTAGTGCCTTGCTGGCTAAACCTTTGCACTAGTGCCTTGCTGGCTAAACCTTTGCACTGAGTCTTTAGGCGGCGACGTGTGAGTCTTTTGGTGGTGACGTGTGAGTCTTTAGGTGGCGGCGTGTGAGTCTTTAGGTGGCGACGTGTGAGTCTTTAGGCGGCGACGTGTGAGTCTTTTGGTGGTGACGTGTGAGTCTTTAGGCGGCGACGTGTGAGTCTTTAGGTGGCGACGTGTGAGTCTTTAGGTGGCGACGTGTGAGTCTTTAGGTGGTGACATGCGAGTCCACACAAACATTCTGTTCAAATTCCTGAGCTTGGGCCGGAATCTGCGTCTTATTTTACTTTTATAAACTTCATGCATTTTTTGGCTCATATTTAATTCCCGAGAATTATGGCCTTTCTTCTCTATGCATGAGGACAGCAGCTAGTACATCGACCGAATTCTGTTGTGTCACTCAATTTTACTTTAATCAGTTATATTTAACTATGCGGTTTTGTTATGTATTATCTGGTGCGACTTGCGCTCAATTTATACGGTGGCAGCACCGACGCGTGCTTTTGCGCCTTGCTGCTGTGGTTATTTTTTGGTGCTTTTATTTGTTTCTTTTCTTTCGGCTCTGCACACTTCTGCTGCCTCTTAAATTATACTTGCACAATTCACGGGTGTGATGCATTCCATAAAAAAATTAGATCATTAATGCATGGCACCAGCTCATCTTGCGTAATACGCAAAATAATTTTCACGATAATGATGGCGGTTTTCGCAAGCTGGGGCAAATGAATGGGGTTGGGGGACATAAGAATGAGTCTCCAGAAGGAACTTGGGCGTTTCGAATAGTTTCAGGTATACGGCTTTAAACTATCTACCTGTAAAGACCCGAAACTTGAAACACCACATACCAGTGTCACGAAATGAGCCCTTACTTAGATAATAGCATAATCTAAACGAGCCCTTAATGCTATTATGGCCTGAACGTGAATCGCTATATGAGTGTCGGGTTATCAAGACTTTATGTTAATAATTGGACAATAATTTATGATTCACGACGAAACTGATGACACAGTTTTATAACATGAACACTGAAGCTCTACATCACTACTTGGAGTATGAAGATTTTGGAGGGTTGCCATAACAAAGCGCAAGGCAAAAATCTTGCTCTGCTCAGAACCGAATTTCGTCTTTGCTATTAAATTTTACCAACGCTTCTGAGTTTTTACCGGTGCAATTGAGTTTTCTAGCGTGCAACTTGCGCAAGAGCCATCTTGTGTGGCTCTTGCGCTGGCAGACTGCATGTCTGTTACAGGCTGCAGGTCTGCAACTATTAGCATGTTTGTTACTGACTGTATGTTTGATACAGGCTGCACGTCTGCTACTGACTGTATGTCTGCTAGAGGCTGCACGTCTGACTGACTGTATGTCCTGTCTCTTATACACATCTAGATGTGTATAAGAGACTGCCTTGCTGGCTCAACCTTTGCACTCCTGCCTTGCTGGCTCAACCTTTGCACTAGTGCTGTTGTATAGCGGGCCAGCTTTGGCCTCGCTATTAAGTTTTCTCCAGTCGCCGCACCTCTCTAACAGAGACCGACGAGAAAAAGTATGCTTAGGTAGTTTTCGCGGGAAGCAGCGGATTGCTAGTAGCCAGCCTACCTTTGCCTGACCTGCCACACTTTGTAATGTCTATAAATACCTGTAGCTAATGTCTATATATTGTCTGTACTATTAAATCTAAATGCATTTAGTTATGGTCCTATGTCGTGGAAGCGGGTTTTCCATGAATTTAAAATATACCTTGTGGACCTGTGAAAGTTTGCTGATCCATATTGATTCATCCTCGTACGTTAGGGCCCGCTTGCAGAGACCCAGTAATTTTGTGTACGCAGGGTAGTTCTCCCGCTACACTGTGCTATCTCAACCTTTGCACTAGTGATTTCTGTGGAGAATTTAGTTGAAAAATTGACCACTCGCTAAGGTTTCGTTTTAACATTATATTTACCCGCTACTGCAACGAAGTTAGCAATGTTTTAACGAGTTCAGTTCCATTCAATGTGCGTGGCTGAAAATAGGTTTTATATAAAATGCACTCTAGAAGTGCACACTTCCTCTACATCGGACAATAAAACTAATGTTTGATGTACTCAAGTTACCTTTTTAATTTCTTCATCCTTTGCTCGACAAAATTAAATAAATATACTGGTACTGTAAAAATTCCGGCTTTTCTTGCGAACAGCAACGATTGAGGAAATCTAATTCGAACCTGATGCACGGGACTCGTTTCTTTTTTTTCTGTAGACATACTTGCGCATCTATACGTTCGTTGATCGCATGAAAAATCCAGTTTTATATTAATTTTGCGTATTCTATGAGGTTTCGTATTTGATGTTTTGTATTCTATGAAAAAATCTGCGCCAATTTTTCGCGAAAAATTTACTAGTTTTCTGAACGTTTTCCCGACTGTTATGGTCATCGTTTGCTAAATTCAATTTTTAGAGTTTTATCTTATCCCATCCAAAGTCGTCGCTGCCACACTCACTCATTTTCTAACCTCGTATTTCCGAATCTCCCATTGAATTACATTGTTAAATTTATTCACATCTCAGGAAACCCACTTGAATATTACATTGTTTAATTTATGCACATTTCAGGAAACCCACTTGAATACTTTAGGTTGCCGGATCTCGATGTCATTAATATTTGGCGACGCTGTAAAAAGCTCAATCATAGGCGAGCACGACGCGTCGTGTTGGCACGACGTCTTCAACACACGGGCCGTTCGAGGGCAGATGCACGGCAGGTGCTCGAAGCATTAATCTTAGAAATGAGCCCAACTCTTCAGACTCTTTCTTCCACTTCAAAGCAAATGCAATTCGAAAAGATGCCTCGTCTAAATTGTAATTTCACGCTCAATGTCTTGCTTTATGTAGAGATCATTTTTCCGTCGATGCACCGAGAAGCTTTTTATTCAGTTGCAAAGTGCTTACAATGCTACGAATAATGTATAATATAATACTAGATAATGTTAGTCAAGTTAATAATGCAAGTTAATTCTAGTTAATGTTAGTCATGTTAATAACGCTAGTTAATCCTAGTTAATGTAAGTTAATAATGCTATTTAATCCTGGTTACTGTCAGTTAAGTTAAAAATGCTAGTTAATTATAGTTAATGTTAGATAAGCTTTAATGCTAGTTAATTCTAGTTAATGTTAGTTAAGTTAATAATGCTAGTTATTGTTAGTTAATTAAATAATGTTACTTAATTCTAGTTAATGTTAGTTAATTTAATAATGCTAGTTAATGTTAGTTAATTTAAAAATGCTAGTTAATTCTAGTTAATGTTAGCTAAGTTAATAACGCTGGCTAATTACTATAGTATAATTTTAAACTAGTTTACCAAACGGTGCTCTGTAATGTCCAGGAATTTTTAATATAAATTCGCAGTAATCATTACTGCGTTCATCTATAAAATATTTATAAAGCACTTTACTGAAGTCTCTTATAGTTATAGTTATAGGGGCGAAATATTTAACGCATCGTTCAGAGTTTATGGTTGATTAATTCTGTGGTTGCAAATTCAATTACCTGCATTAATTCTGAATTGGTTTTCATTTTGTTTCATTGTATATTTAGGTAATTTGCATGGTGATGTGTGCAATGGGAATTCATTAATACATTAATTTCACCGAGAATAGCAATTCATTTCCTTAATTATTGGAAAGCCGGAATGGCTATCAGCTTCCACGAATCAGATCACGAAAATGAGGATTTCTAAAGTGCACTTCATCAGGATCATCCATTCTAGAAAGTATTGCGCTGAACTGACTTTGCGACCCGCGCTGCTGAGTGGAAAATGATTCGCAAATCTGAACAGTGGTTTTGCTTCTAAAAGATGTTAATACTAAATCACATGTTAAATCGGCGTCGCCAAATTCGAAGGCACTAAATATTTGGCAATGTCCAACCCGAAGCAGCCTGCGTGCGTAGTAACCGATATTCCAATCGAGTCACGCAGTGCGGTACTCGGGTTTTACTCCAAAATTGATATAAATTTCAAGCGCCAGCGTTTAAACATTTCTTTTTAAGTTATCGTTAGGTATACTGACGGTTGCTCCGTATAGAGTTTTACAACAGAGGTGAATATTCTTCAAACGACATGAAATAAACTCAACAATATTTTATCAGCACAAGCAAAATTGGAGCTGCTAGGACATAACTGTTCTTCTAACGTGCGTGTTATCCATAATTAGTAGAGGCTTAGAGCATCCACAATGGAACTCGGTAATAATTTGTTTCATTTCCCCTAAAAATTTTATTTGAATTATATGAAATTGAACAAAAATAACGGTACTTATGCAATATTATTTTCAGATTGAGCCCCGCGATGTGATCACTTACGACTCAGATTCGGAGGCCACAGGGGGAGCCATGTCGGGGCGACGTCGCGTCGACGACGCAGCGCTGGGCCTCGGCCGCAACAAGCACGGCACGCCGCTGTACTCACGGCAGGACATCCGAGAGCAATACTGCATCAACGACAAGGAGCTCAAGGTGCTCGAGAACAAGAAGAAGCCGCTCTTCGGCTGCCTCGTGGCGCCCAGCCCGCAGGTGTGTGCCATAGATGAGAACTTTTTAATTGTACAGTCAGCAATACTCTCCTCGGCTGCCTCGTCGCCCAGCCCGCAGGTGTGTGCTCTACATGAGAACTTTTTAATTGTACAGTCAGCAATATTCTCTTCGGCTGCCTCGAGACGCCCAGCCCGCAGGTGTGTGCTCTACATGAGAACTTTTTAATTGTACAGTCAGCAATACTCTCCTCGGCTGCCTCGAAGCGCCCAGCCTGCAGCGATGAACACTTTTGGTCTTCTTTTTATCATAAAAATGTATTTCTCACAGGTTTGTGCTCCAAATTATGGTGTATATCCTTCAACATACAAGGCTATAATGTATATAAGAGTAATTAATCAATTTTACAAATCATAGCTGTTACTCCTTGAGTGGGTGGTCATTTGTCTGTAGTTTGGATCATATTCTTCTAGTGTGTTGAAATAACAGAAAATAGCGTTTCTACTGTTGAAAACGCGGGAAAAATTTCATTCCATTTTATTTGTCTTTAGGCTACTGAAGTAAATTGTATGATTCAAATTCGATCAGCCATCTTCGATCCTATTTTCTACACAAAGTCATCGTAATAGTCAATATTCCACAGGGAAAGAATAAATTACGTGTAATGTTCATTTGTACTATGTTGTTCTCAATGGTCGCACAGACCTGAACTTGTTTATGTGTGTGCCGGTAAAATAAAATGGCTTGTAAGATCAAAATAGCATATATACTCGCTTTCATTTGTTATCCCTGTTTGAATGTGAGCTAGCTGCGATATGAATTCCACAAACGAATCCTGACGATATGTATCATTTACTGCATCGATCGTACATTCTAGCGTGCATAAAAGAATTGATTGCAATTCGAGACTTTCAAAAGCACAGCTTCTATTGCAATGTTTGTTGATGCAACTGCAATTCGTGAAGCGCAACCAATCATGGCGCCGAGACTTTCTGTGTCCACGATGCGGCGATTATATATCTGGGATTAACTTCAACTTTAAACTACAACGCCCGGCTTTGAAGTATCGGTTACCGTTTAAAGTGATTAAAATTGCCCGTTTGATGTTACTGCATATTCACTCGGGTGTGACTTGTTATCGTGATGGAAATTTGTGTTATATATCACACTCGATATATTTGGCATGATTCTTGGATATTTCGTAGTGTGTAAAGTAAAAATTTAAAATCAACGTTCATTATTACTTGATATTAGTGCATTGATAGAACTGATGCTCAGAAAGTTATTAATAAATTGAATCGTGATATGGTGAATCTTGGTAAAAATGTACTATTAGTTTTTTGGAAAGCGTGGTGTCTTATACATAATACAGGGTGTACCAGAATTAACTGATCCTTTTAATTTGTTAATAAATAAAAAACTAAGAGCGTTATGAAGTTGAAACTTGTTTTATTTAAAAGAAGAACATTTTTATGGTAATATTGTATCATAGTTACGTCATTATCCTGTATAGCTTGCTAAATTTGTGTTTAATTATGAAGCCTTAAATTTTCATCATGATTCGCTACAGCAAAGAAGAAAGAACGAAAATTATCGCTACAGTCAATAACGATGTCAATAACAGAAGTTCAACGTGATTACAGGATCCATTTCAAAACAAGGATCCTTCAAAAAACACAATTAAATCTCTTTATGGAAAATTTGCGGATATCAAAAATTTGCACTCTCGCCAGAATTACTAATGAAGGTTATGAAAGCAACGAAGAGAAGAGCCCTATTTTGCCAAAACAATTGTGGTGGGCATTTAAAAGATATTATATTTAAAAACTAGGATACAATATTACCATAAAAATGTTCTTCTTTTAAATAAAACAAGTTTCAACTTCAAAACGTTCTTGGTTTTTTATTTATTAACAAATTAAAAGGGCCAGTTAATTCTGGTACACCCTGTATAAGATCAATTAATAATATAAGATCAATCAATCATCATTGATTGATCATTAATAAGATAAATCAAGATGCGTATAAGATTAATTGAAAAACAAAATATTTCGCGAATATTCTATAGTTACTGAGCCTCTCGCCGAAAAATAAATAAGCACTTAATGTAAGGTCAATAGTTTGGATGCGAACATCAGAACTCTGCGCCACTGCAACTTTAGTCGCATCCTGCGTCCGTTTAAAGGACATCGATGCTTACGCCGCACGCATCACGAGGATGCGTACCGCCCTTCGCTTCACGAGAATGCGTACCGCCCTTCGCTTCACGAGAATGCGTACTGCCCTACGCTTCACGAGGGCGCGTACCGCCCTACGCTTCACGAGAATGTGTACCGCCCTTCGCTTCACGAGAATGCGTACTGCCCTACGCTTCACGAGGGCGCGTACCGCCCTTCGCTTCACGAGAATGCGTACCGCCCTGCGCTTCGCGAGAATGCGTACCGCCCTGCGTTTCGCGAGAATGCGTACCGCCCTACGCTTCACGAGGGCGCGTACCGCCCTTCGCTTCACGAGAATGCGTACTGCCCTGCGCTTCACGAGAATGCGTACCGCCCTGCGCTTCGCGAGAATGCGTACCGCCCTGCGCTTCGCGAGAATGCGTACCGCCCTGCGCTTCGCGAGAATGCGTACTGCACTACGCTTCACGAGAATGTGTACCGTCCTACGCTTCACGAGAATGCGCACCGCCCTAGCTTCACGTGGATGTGTACCACCCTACGGAGAAGAATAACATAAAGCAGCGATCTCGGACAAACTTTGTTAGTCTTGTGGGAAAACTTTAAAAATATATTATTAATGTGTGCCACAGAGGCCTGCAGGGCCAATATAAGATGAGACGGTTGCCTCTCAATATACATTCATAAAAATATGCTTGTGATCAAAACTCGACTAACTCAGTCTTTGTGAAAACTCTCTGGTATTTGGCCTGCATGTGGGGCGATACATGTTTTGTGAGTTATAGTATCTCTTAAATTCAGCTAATATCACTGCAAAATTTTTCAAGCCCTTTTATCTGCACACAGAAATTTCGTCGCTAGCAGTTCCCGTCGTTTGTTGGAAACCCCATAGATAAATCAATAGCTTGATTTGTAGTTAGCGATTTCCAATTTTCAAGGTTCTATATTATTTGTTATTGAGCCTTGTAGTGTTTGGGTTGGTCTGGGATGCTGCTTGTTGCATTGGTGGTCTTGCTTTGTATTCTTTCAGTAGTTGTAACTGTTATTTGCGTCGTGCGCGCCTGACGCTGTAAATACAAATTTTAGATTGTCCTAAATATTCACATAAATTTCTATTTATTTTCTTTTCTGGTAAGTTCATTTATCAATTTTTATGATTATCGAGTGGGGGAAGTAGAAAAATTGGTTTGTTTTAAAAAGGAATAAAATATCCATTCTATTTCATTTACACATCAATTTCTTAGGATTTTCTCTTGGTAAGATTGTCCAATTTTTTTTGTTAGTTGTGCTGCCTGAAAGCTGGGCTCATTATTTCCCGGCTCAAGCTTTTAATTTCCCGAGGGTCATAATTTTGTTAGCGGCACGCACCGCCCCTCATTAGGAGTTTGGCCCCCACCTCCTGAACTTCGAACTTGGAGCGTACTTCGTGGCTCTCGAAACAGGGCAGCCACTTTGGGGCCCTATCCATGGCGATGAATTTTGTGACCATCGAAATGTAGCGTACACGGAAAAGAACTTTGTGGCTTCAAATACGGCTTCCGCGGAGATGAACTTTGTATCGCGCAAAATACGGCGGCCATGCATGAATTTCCACCGCATTTTACGCATTTACGAAATTTAGTCATTCTTTTACTATATACTGCACAGTGCGCGTGATGATGTCTTGTGAATTTTAAATTTAATTGTATTTATATGAGATGCTGGATACTTCAAGCCTCTTGGAACGAACTTAACTGCAGCCCCCTACCACATGTCGAAAAAATCTGCCACTTGATTTTGGTGGTGTTCCAAGTTGTGATTTACTATTGCAGTAAAATGAAAGAATATTGTTGACTTCAGGATCAGGGGTTCTAATGTTTGTGTTCGTTGGGGGTTTTTGCTGCAGCAGACGACTCTTCGATAGTTGTAGAATGCAAATCATAGTTAAATGCATAGTTTTCGATAGTTGTATAATGCAAGAATGAAGTGCGAGGCTAAAGAAACATCTAGTTTGTGCAGTACGTGTTGACATGATATGTACACGAGTTAGTAGCCACGATATATAATTTGAAGAATCAATACATTTGAAAGTGGCCATTAGCATGTGTACAAACCCGTTGATGTTCACCCATAGCCGCCGAGCAGCCAGGCTGGCAAGCGCCGCTCGCTCATCCCCGCGTGCCTACGCAGCCGCGTGCCCTCCGACGAGAACGTCTACAGCAGGAGCCACACAGCGCTGGCGGGCACCCAGAGCGCCGTGGCTCCGCGACCCAAAAGGGGCGGCGACTTCGACGAGGAGCCCTTCAGCCGACGGCGCCCCAACACCATCTGCTACACCGATCCTAAGCGACTAGCTTCACTAGACAGCAATCTTGTGAGTGGTTCAATTCTCTGCTCCCTTGGCTATAAGCGTAATTATTATTGTATTTGTAAATTTTTAATCACATTTTCGAGTGTTCTCCGTTATTCACTCCAATTTTCTGTTTTTCTGTCGTCATCTCGCATTTGTTTTTTCTTCCGTTCATCAATATCTATTACTCCACTTATTAGAACACTATTTTTCGCCATTTTATCCCTCAAATACTCGCCTTTAACCCCCATAAAAGCAGAACGGACGCGGTGGTGGCAACGTGCGCCTCAGCAGCGCCTCATACGTGGACCAGCAGCCACGGGCGTCCGCCTCATTGCCTCATAACTCCGAGCCTCACGCTCCACTCAACCATCTCACCGAGGCCAACAAGATCGCAGCTGGCCTCAACGAACCTCTCCATCTTGGCATGAAGCCGGCTAGCCATCACTCAGCAGACTTTCTCAATGGGAAAGATCTCGACCAAACTGGTGAAGAACTTTTCTAGTACTTATTTTACTGAATCTTGCATTTTGTGGTGGAATGTTGATGAACAACTCAAGAGTTTGACGCTATTTTCCAGATCATGTCATCTTATTTTGACGAATGGCTTAATACTTTTGACTCACGATATGCAACGTTCGATAACTGTACGAGAAGCCTGTTTTATATTCCCTTATGCCTATGCCGTTGCAGATTTCGCTCTGCTATCTACATGATTCTGCTCTGCAGTCTATTTCCGCTCGGCTGAATCCTCATTTCAGGCTAATGTGGCAATATTAAAAATTTATCAAGGCTTCTCTTGGGCGCTGACGTCCCTGCTACCCAAAATTTAGCGAAACGTTATTAACAATGATAATTAATAGCCGTGAAGAATTGATATTTCTCCTTTTTTAAAGCATTCTCTTTGGTGCGATTTCTGGCTCATTCAATAATGTTAAACAGAATGGTTAACGTTGAAAGATTAACGCTGCCAAAGTTTTTAGTAGTTTATGCTGCTGAAGCGTTGGAAGATTTATCTTGTTTTAGTGTTTAGTATTTATGTTGCGGGGCTGTTGGAAGGTTAATGTTGTTGGGGTTTTTAGTAGTTATGATTCGTGACTACTGAAAGCTGCAGGATCTTGACGAAGTAAATGTGTCAGGAACTTTAATGGGTTAGAGTTGCAAGAACTTTGTTTTGACGTTGCAGCCGGCTTCAATTACATGAAATGACATTCGGTTTTATGAAGTTTATTTGCAGTATGGAATATGGTGCTGCAACATGATTGTGTTGCAGGGGTTTGAAGATGCTCGTGTGTTGCACGTGCTGCAACATGATGATGTCGCAGGGGTTTGATGATGCACGTGTGTTGCAGGTGCTGCAAGATGATGATGTCGCAGGCATTGCATGATGCTTGTGTGTTGCAGGGGCTGAAAGATGATAGTGTTGTAGATGATGCAAGTTACTGGTATGTTACAGGTGTTGCGGTGCGTGGGTGTTGCACGCAACCCCATACTCCAGAGCTCGGCAGCAGTGCCCGGGTGCACCCCCTGCCAGACCACCTGCACGACGACCGCCACTTGCAGCAGAAGCACGTCAGCTTCCAGAAGGGCATGAGGTCTGGCTCCTGACTGACGTGTATGTGGTCTGACGCGGTGACTAACGAACGGTCTGACGAGGGGACTGCATACAAGCAGACCGCCTGGCCTGTTCAGCAACTTGACCGCTGACTGTCCGATAGTTTAGGGCCTTAGCTGCTGACTATTAGATATAAGCTTTTCCCACCAGGAATTAATTATTTTGATTCAACAAGATTAAAATCAGGACTTATGTGCATTTTTTCTCGTTATTTTATGAATCATTATATAGTTTAATGATACGTTTTGCTCATTCATCATTATAATAATTCAATTCCTTATTTCATTTGTGTATCTTCACTTTTACTATTGTCTCCTTGTCTTTAATTTGTTACTGTGAGAATATATTTGAAATATCTACCATTTTTTCAGTCGCTCGACGACCATGTCAGACACTCCAGATGAAGCTAACGCTGTCGAAAAAATCGAAACTCAATTCGATACAAATCCCGTTACCACCACCCGCCTGATGCGGGACGGCAGCGTGCGCTCCACCGGCGGTGGCGGTGGCGGTGGGAGCGGTGGTGGTGGGTCGGTGAGAAAACACGATGCTGCCACAGGATCCTCCTCCATCTGCAGGATTCAAGACGCGGCGGCAGGACCTTCAACGGGCGTTAAGACTCAGGATGTGTCCATCGGACCTTCAGGTACGTCCTCGGATCTTACAATATAAACTCGTTTTAGAACACGTAGCGGCCTAAGTACACGTAGCGGCCTAAGTACACGTAGCGGCCTGAGTACACGTAGCGGCCTGAGTACACGTAGCAGCAAGCGTCGGATCGTCTGTTATTGGAGAGTTCTGCCTGAAAGGCCGTCAGGGATTGGCTGACGGATTTACGAACTTGTAACTATTATCAACACTACGGCTCCTGTACATGTCGGTAGGCACAAAAAGATTCTATAACGAAGCGACAAATACTGTGAATTCCATTAATTTATTTATATTAGCCCACTGAAACTGATAAGAACGTTATCCAATGTAACCTGATTTTGCGTTTGCTCATTTGAATCGTCCTGATATCTGAGTGTTCGTTGCCTTAGGTACCTGGAAACTCCTAAATTAACTGAACCTATGAGAAAATTTCATTAGGCACTAAAACAAGGATAAAATACAGAGATAAAGTTTAGTCGACGTTCAGGAGTCCGGACGCAGGACGCCGCAACCGGCGCGGGTTGCAGCGGAGCAGGACTGTGCGCCGCTAGGGCCCAGGAGCGTCTACTTGGCAACCGCAGCCCAGAGTTCACCAGTCAACAACAACAATTGCTACTACAAAAAGAACAACAGATGGCTCTCGACAGACTCCTCGCCCCTGTATTAACGAAGGCATTACTCAGAGGTAAGGAATGCTTTTTTTTTAATATTTCGAATCCTAAAAAAATATGTTTTGAATTCGTAAAAATATTACGAATTATTTGTTTGTTCACTGCGTATCAAAGAAGGTGCTTTATAGCATTATAAAAAAGAATAAATTATGTATCATTGCACAAATGCATGGATAAAGTAGACTAAAATTATTGCATATGTCGATGGGTGGGCTTCTTTTATTATGATTATAAATATTACTCCACCGGTTCGTGAAATTTTAATTAGAAAAATACCACAATAAATAATTCAGTCAACAGCTTGTGTTCGCGCATGGATGAATTAAAGCGTGACTTATGATTCGTTATTGAATTTATTTGAGGGAAGAAATAAGTTTAGGAGCGTCACAATTAAGTTTATTACTTAAGACTGAGTTACGTTCGCGTTACGATTCTGTAGACAATTCCTGCTATCAGGAATGTTGGACTGATCGTGAAATGAGGATGAAAGGAAATGAAAAGGTTGAGACACTCGTGACATGTTCGGGTCTTGATATTTATTTGTTTTATTTATATTTTCTTATCTGAAGCATAAAATACACCGTTATTACATGGCAAACCTGTTCAATTTATTTTACGCTATGATGACAGAATTATTGTTGCTTCTCTTTTAATCAACTTACTCAAATGTTCGTTTGCTTTCTTCATATTTCCAATATTTTAGCTAACTTACTTCATTTTCATTGCACGCTTCTATGAAGATGCAGAAGCAGGCAAGTTTTTTAACCACTTCGAATCTATGATAATAATTCCTCTTTATTTATTCGTTCATCTCTTTATTCTCATTCGTTCAAGAATAACAGCTCGTATTGCCGCCTGCAGAAACTGCTTACCAAAAGATTCCATCCACATGATATTTTGGCTCCAACAATGTCAGCTCTGACTTAATCTTTTCCTAATAAAAATCTGCATTTACCTAGTATTCTGGCTTCTAAATGCGATATTCTAAGTATTTCCTGCTTCGTATAAATGACTGCAAAAAAATTGGCTCCTGAATAAGAAAAATTTTCCTAAGCCTAATCTAGGCATTTTCAACATCTGCGCTAGTGATCGCCTATACTAATTAATATTACGAATCTAATTAATGTGAAATAATCGCTCAAATAAACGTTTTTCGATCAGCGGCGTTTCTTAACAAAGGAGAAGAATGACAGATCTTTTCAGAAGTCACTTCCGAAGTGTTAGAACGAACGATAATCTATGAAAATTAAATTTCTCTTAACTGAAGGAACTAGCGCCTGTGCTCGTTATTCTCTAATTCTACCTTGCATGATAATCTTCTTGTTAAACGTCATTTTCTCATTCTATTATAGGTCATCCCATCCCATCTATGATCGCCAATCCCAATTAGAAGCCCTGCCATCCATATCAGCTCTGGACATTGATTGTTTTTCAAAATAAAAGAATTGCTCACGCGGATATGCTCGAATGAAAAAAAACATAGGTATATCTATTTTCACCGCTTAAAACTGATTTTACACGTAACACCTGTTCATGCTTTAAGTTTACCCATACACATCTGCACGAAGGCTGTCGCTGTAATTCTCGTGCCATTTGAATAGAATTGCAGGCATTAGGGTGTATTTTTACCAAGTAATTTATCTAATGCGTGAATAAATTACAGTAAGACATGAATATTCCAAACCGGAGATCTGAATTAATGCCTATAAATGGGAAAGGTTAAACATTTGAATTCCAAAAAATTTTTGTGAAGGAGAGATAAATGTCAATGCGCTGTTTCAAAGAACCACATTTTTCATTCCAATATATTCTAATCAAACATGTTTCGAATCGAATCTCAATTATGTTTCGAATTTTTGCTGACAGTTGCTGCTCAGGAGACTTCCCAGTTAGAAGTTAAGCATAAGCGAAATTCCGTAGCCTTAATTCAAAAAAGAATAGTGCAATCACCCAATGAAATGCAAAGCTTTCTTCTTGAAGGACGAGTGAAACCGAAAAAATTTATATCCAAACGTGACATTTTCGCTCACTGTAGTGATGTACGAACAGACTGCTGTGTAACTGAAACGGTGGGCAATGAAAGGGTGGACACATTTTCGTGCAAACGTGAGAAACTTCATAAGAGCTTCAGAAAATGCAGAAGAAAGATACACGAATCAGAACTGAATTTCTCTGCTGCAGCAGAAGACTTTGAACGTGATGCCTCTCGTCTCATTGTTCCGACCCAGCCTCGCCTCGATGCTTCAGGAGTGGAAGAAGCATCTTGTTCAAAAGCATCTTGTTATTCGCTATCGTTTTGTGCCTGTGAATGTGAGACGTGCTCATTATTTTCAGACAGATCAAATAATTATCAGTGCGTTGATCCTTTTAATTTGAACGATTGCTTTCAGAGATCAACCCTAAAAGATAGCTTATTTGATAGCGACGTTGATGATGGTTACAAAAGCGACGAGAGTTATGACGGTGTCCAAATTAACCTTCCCCAAGACAGTTTGTTGCCTGCGCCAGAGTCAAGTGTGGCATATCCTAATGACTCTGGTTTGGAAGGTCCGTGCAATCGAGTTTATTCGGCGAATCTCTTGCAGCACAGAAAATTGTTCGCAACGATGAACGAAAAGCATTCCCTGCAGCTTGATAATAGACGACAATACTGTGTTGAACCATTTGAAAGAAATCTGGAGCCATTAAGTAAAGAGATCAGTTCAAGACTTGATCATTCATGGTTTAATCGAGGAATCGTGCATAACACATCCGCCCGTGCTATGTTTCTTGAAGATTCCGTTAGCTTAGATGTAATGCAACCGGACACAACAGCCCTTCGAAAAAGTACTAAGTCGGCGGAAAAGGAGCTTCCGTGCGATGACGACTATGAAAGCATTTGCGGTGATCGAAACAGAGAGGGTGGCGAAAGCGGAGAAGAAGGTGACGACGAGAGCAATGCCAACGATCATAACGACGATGGAAACGATCGAGACGATGACGAAAGTGGTGAGGGAAATGGTGGGTCGAGTGACGGCAGCAGTGGAGACGGCAATGACGGTAGTGGTGGGAGCGGAAATGACGATAGAAACCGTAGTAATGATCGTAGTCGAGACAGCGACGATAGAAAATATCGACGCAGAGAAAAGAAAAATGACAAATCTTCAAGTTCTGATGAGGAAAGTGATGAACTAAAGCTTTCGGTGAAGGACATTGTTCAAAAATTCGAAAAGAGCAGGTCTCCAGTATATCTGAAGAAAGAGCCGGAGCGATTAGAAGATCTGCGTGGCAGAAGAGAGAAACCACGGCTTCGTCTTGATATCAGCCAACCGTTAGAAACTCCAAGATCAAAACAAAAGCAACGCAGGGAAGACCCTGTCCATCTTTACAGTCGATATGTGTTTGAAAGCCCCAAAACGAGTCTGACAAAATCTACAATTATGCAGAAAATTCCACCCACCCCAACAACGGCAACTCTCAAATTGTACAATCTAGAAGAACCACAAACCGGGATGAAAAAGAAAAGCCATGCTACCCAGAATAAAACTAAAATGAATATGAACGTAGTGAAAGAAGGGCAAATTATAGCCAATTCTACTAAATACAGCGATAAAGTTGATGCTAGAGCTTCAGAGAAGAGCAGACATAAATTTGTCAAAGAAGAAAAAGATGCCGACGAAGAAACGCCAGCCCGCTACATGACTCGAGCGTCGATAGTTCTCAGTACCGCCAAAATTGCCGAAGATTCTCGAGCCATCGAGGAAACCAAGAGTAAAAATAGAAGTTCTAGCATCAAGAAACGCAGGAAAGCGCACACCAGGTATCTTGATGATAAAAATGCTGACAGTGATTATGGTGCCATGGCCCGTCCGCAGAATAGCGGTCGAGACAGAAAAAATGACGACCGAACTCGAATATCGTCAAAGTTTGATGCCTCGAATGCAGTCATATCTCCTGGCAAGGACAATGATTTAGATACACATCCGAATGCTGCCACTTATTACTCAGCAACGCCCACCGAGTCTCTCAGAAAGTATGTTTTAGAAAGCCCTGTAGCGCATCGAAGCATTGAAAAAAATATTTTGATTGAACGCATGCTACAACAACAGCAGCAGCAAGGTGCCGAGTCTCCACACAAAGAATCTTCACAAATCTATAATCAAAACACATTACTCCCTGAAAACTTCAATCAACATGACGTTTTCATATTTGATAGTATGAATGAAGAGACAGATAACCAGATAAATAATTCCAAGTCTGTAAAATTGCTTGCACCCGATTCTTCACCTACAAAACGAAAAGTTAAGAAGAAAAAGCGTCCTCAAGAAGTCTTAAGTGATACCTCTGAAATAAATTATCCAGTAACTAGTTCAGAGTTATCACTCAGGTATCAACGAGAAACGCAAATCCGTGATTTACCAGCATTACTGCCTATTAGAGACAGTGAATTTGACTTTGAGAAACGCAAGAAGAGAAAACCGAAACGATCACAGTCGAAAGATTCGAAAGCATCCGTATCCACTCCAATGTCAACATCTTCTCATTACTACGAAGATGAAAGAACGATAGAAATGAATGCACTTAGGAATGATGCGCGAAAAAGCGAAGATATTGAATTTCAGAAGAAAGAAAACATGAATGTAAAAGCGAAGCGATCGCTGCTGCGAACGAAAGAACGTTTGTTAAACTTTTTAAAAGAGGAATTTCAGTCTTTGAAGACTCATATTGTCAACACGCAAGACTCCAATTATGGACTAAAATCGGGATCTTCAAAAGGTGAACAACCCAACCCACCGACTCGGAATGAATCTTTGGATTCGAAAGCCAGAAAAAGCAAAACACAAACCGCAAATGTTGGTCTGACAACTAATGGCGCAAACGAAATCACATTAGATAAGAAAAGGAGTAGCAGGGCGAAAAAATCCTTACAACAAGAAAAATTCGAAGAAAATACTATTACAAAGAATGTCTCTAAACGCCGTCGTAGAACTGTGGAAAGAGAAAGCATGGGGGTACAAACCGATGATGAAATGACTGGTGACGATGAATGGCAGTCAAGATACACGAGAAGGCCTGTAACAGATAAACCTGGCAAAGATAGATCTCGATCATCCGAATCTGGAAAGAAAACGAAAAATTCGAAAATATATTCTGAAGCAATGTACTACGATCGCTCAAAAATGGCCAGTAAGATAGCCGAACATTCCCTTGATGCGAAGAGTAAATGCAAGAAGAGAAGTAAGGAACAAGAGGTCTCTGTAGAAAAACACATTCCAGTAACCGAACAGATAAAAGAGTACGACTTTGGGGGCCTTGCTATGTCAGCTTCACAAACATTCGAGACCACATCAGTGCTCACAAACGTTAGTTCTGTTAGAACGAAACGAACAAGGTCGGTATCTAAATCCACATTTGCCACTCAAACCGACGACGAATTAAGTATGAATTACCGTTCTGGTGACTCTGACAAGAGATCAAACGTGTCGAAAACTGTACCTACATCTAAAGAAAGCACTCCTGCATCAGTGAATTTTCAGCCACTTGAAGGAGAACTGTCAAAAATCTTAGTGGATAGAACGCTAAAGCCCATACCTAAACCAGGACCTAAACCCAAGAAGGCAATTTCCGGTTTATCTAACTTACCAAAAATGTATGCCTACCGATCTGCTCCCGAGTCAAATATTTATGTGAACATACCTGCAGCCCTTCTCTATCACGGCATTAAAAGCCATGTTAGTGTTGAAGTTTCTGACGAAGATCTGTCAGAAGGAACCCGATGCATTAGTGCAAGTGAAGCCGATAAATTAAAACTCGATAAAGTACTAGACATGGTAACTTCAGGTAGAGAAAAAATCGAAGAGTTAGAAGCACATGGAGAAACTACAGAACCGCCAATGTTAATAAACAATCAATTATTTGAGGAGGAACTCGTGAGAGAAGGGCTGTCTGAGGAGAGGAAAACCACTGAAGATACAATGAAACTACGGCATCGGGAGTCAAAAACTATTAGAGAAAGGAAATTCGACGGTGAGGATGAAGAAGTTCACGACGAGACAGCAGCCCAATTAGATAGGGTTCAAAATCCAAAAATTCTCATTGAACCAGAAACGGAGGAAGATTTTCTTTCCGACGACAATGACGAAGAGAACACATATACCAAGAAGTTTGATGATAAAAGCGTGAAGGATAAAGGTAAATTGAGTGAACGGACAGTAAGTAAGGATAATTTCAGAAGGTCTTTCGAAAGAAGAGGCAAGCGTTCACGATACCGAGGCTCTCAACGAAAAAGGGAGTTTGATATTGAGAAATACGGAGAAAGATTAATAAGAGCTTTAGAAGATTGTCTCAGAAAAGGAGAACTGAGCAAAGAAGTTTCTGAAGACACCAAAGAGAAAGAGTGCGAACAGACAAATCTATTACCCAGTCAACATTTGAAGGCCGACGATAAGATGCATCACTATGAATCAGATAAAGATGATAGCGAGTTAAATACAAAACACCAAGATTTTAAGGCGGAGAATGACGAGGGAAAAACATTTGAAAATTCAATCGAAGCGTCATTCCTTGTAAATCCACTCGACGAAGAAAATCAATATCCCATTGACAATGCAAGAGAAATACCTACTTCAAAAATAGTCCAACCAACCATTGACAGAAACCCATCAACTTTGCTCGACAAATGTGGTCTTTCGAAGACGGAAAATGACAATGAAGATAGTGCTGCGTTGTCAGATCACGGTCCAAATACAAAAGAGGCTAACCGAGCTGAATCGTCTCCTACTGAAGATGTCGATTCAACACCATTAAGTCCTGATTCGAGTGATGTTCATGTTCAGGAGGAAGTCACTCCAAATCAGCGAAGGCGGAATGTTACTTTGAAGCGATGGGTCAGTGAACCCTCTGTGTTACCAGATGAAAGTTCCTACGAATTTCGGGAGTATAAACGGGATTTGGTGAAGGCCTTGTTACTTATCCACAAACAAGGAAGTAGACGAGATGAGGGATGTCTTAGCGAAGATTCGGTCTCGTTTGACAGTATCACACGAGAATTGGGTTCGCAATTCGAATTATTTTTCGGAGATCACCCGTCAGATGATCAAGAAACAAGAACCCGCAGTCCACTGGTACGCCAGAATGCCGTAGAATACAAAGAAACTTTACAAGACGGCGATCGACCTGGTTTCCATGATCCATCCCCGAATTTTCCCCGTCGTACACTCCATGGAGAGAGTGCACGAGAGCGCGATGGAAGTGTTGGCTCAATTGAAGAGCTTGAAATGAGTGGGGGTGAAGATGACGAATTAGACGAGGAGGGTGTAGAATCTATGCAAGATGATGAAGAATCCCGTTCATCCTCGATTCATTCAACAGTTGAGAGTAGTGATGAAGCCACTAGTGAAGAAATTAGTGTATTAAATAGAAACATTGACGAAAGAGATTTTTTAGATGAAAAAGATGTTGATTTGCCAGTTCGGTACGCTTCAGAGATTATTTCAGAGTCTGAAGCAGCTTTGTGTTACGAGCCTGAGAACTTTACTGTCGTCAATGAAGATATTCCACCAGTATCCGTTCTGGCACCTCAATTAGATGATCAACAAATTATAAAACAAGAGCGCTCACCGGCAGACGAAAGAACGATAGTTCATCCGACAACTACCAAGTCTGACATTCGATGCCTGTTCCCGAAAGATAGCGAAGAGAGATCACTCTTCCTTGAAGTTGATTGTTTTTTCAAACCAGTGAAAGACTCTTTCGAATTTGATGTCAACCCTCCGATTAAAAGTGAAATGGAAGCAAATTTATTTCCCGATCAGCTTAGTAATACGCAATATGTCGAGCCCGGCCTCTTTCCCAACCAAGACCAAGCTGTTATTTCTTCTGAAGAATCGCAAAAGAATGAGCTGAGTGACTGCAGTTCTTCGAAAAGCAGTCGAAGGTCTTCGTGGAGGAACCTCTTATTGAAACAACCTCGTGTGATCGACACAACATCCAGCACTGCTGACACAGAAGCCGATAAAAAGTTGAGCGCTGCTTCTTCACCTCGAATTGAAGGAACTGGTGTCTTGCAGTCGTCCAATTTGAGTGAATCGATAGTGAAATTAGGTGGATTGAAAAATAAACAAGAAAATTCCCAGATAAGCGAAGAAAAACTTGAGCCTGATTTTTCGTTCCCAAAAACCTCTATTGATGAAGTGGAAATGACCGATTATTTTGCTATGTCTCGACAAGAAACATCAAGACAGATGGAAACTAATCGTTCAAGTAAAAGCTCGAAGAGCTCGAGAAGTTCCAAGGACGCTGAAGATCTTAGTAAGCAAGGTTCTGACGAAACAAATAACAAACTTGCTTGCAGTGACTCATGTCAAGTCATAGAAGATCTTCCTACAACTATTAAATCTGGCGAAGAAACTGACGTGATTCGGCCAAATAATATATCCTGTGTAAAGAATAACCAAGATTTAGATGACTCCCCCTCAAATGACGTAAATGGCTCTTCTCTCTCAATAACATCTCCGGTGAGTCTCGAATATAAAAATGAGAGTCGAAGGGGCAGCGTAAGAACTCGGGAAAGAAGAAAAAGAAAGAAAAAAGTTCAACTTCGGTACAAAAGAGTAGAAGATGAAAATGAAAAACATTTGAAGAAAGTGAATGATCCCCTTCAAGGAGTTCAGAGCACTACTGAACAAGGTGAAGTCAGACATCGAATGCAGGACATTCATGTTCCCCATCGGGGATATTCATCCAAAACATTTACAAATAGTAAGATTAGTAAAAGCAGTAGAAAATGTAAAGGCCCCATTACAGAGGAATGCAAGGATAACGATAAACGAACCGAAAAATCTACAAAGGCAGTTGAAAGCGTTAAAAATAATCGAATGCCAAAACGACTCACTCCAATGCCCATGCCTGTGAATCTGAATGTTCTACCACCTGAGAGCTCAGCCAAATTCAAATCAACAGGGTGTTGTGAATTCGGGGAACTTCCTAAACAAATTAAAGTGAACACTTGTTCGAATGTACATTCTTCGAGTGAAAATTTTCAAGATTTAGATATGACGGTAACATCGGCAGAGACGGACTACATTCCTATACAGCCAGAAGACGAGACCTCCGAACATAATTGTTCGAGGAAAGATATCTGTGACTCAAAATTGAGGTTGTCAGAGAAGTTGAGTCGAAATCTACCGGTAGACAGTTGGTCGATAGAAGAGAAAGAAGGTGATGGCGAAGTGAACACTGATGCTGAGAAGAAGACTTCTAATATACCTGACTCTGATGCATCATCATTTAGTAAAGAAGGTCAGTAAATTTTGCGCTGCAACCCAACTCACCTGTTGAAATTTTTAACCTTCGTTGAAATTTCTTCTGCTCAGCTTCAGACTCACCCCGCCTGATATTGCGTATTTGAGTTTGTTTATTAACTGATAGCAGCAAGTAGTGAACGATTTCAGTAAACGCTAACACTCAGTATCACTGAAATCGCAGTACAGGGAAAATATCCTGAGCACTGTTGCCTCTTGTGTGATTCTGACAACACATTTTATCGCTTTCTCGCGATTCAAGGGAATCTGATTGTAAATTTCGAAATTAAATTATCTTGTGGATCGTTAAGAGAAACTTAGAAAAGATAAAAAGTTTAATTGAACCAAACGCGACTACTATATTGGTCATTAGTCAATCTATTCCATCGACACCTTAATCTACTTCATTTGTCATCAACTTATCCCGTAACTGTAACCTATCTGAATGACTTTGTGACGTGCATGCTTTAATTCCGTAGAAGAGACTATGCTCACTGTGTGGTAATGCATTTGCTCCTCTAATTGTATATTAATTTTGCAAATTTAAGTTTGTGTTCTCGTTTCTATGCCTGAGATTTCAATTTCACCACACTTTTCAACGAATTGGGAATACTTAAAGGCAATCACTTACCACAAACTGCCGTTCATTTTTCATTACTGTAACTCGATCTAATTTCCTAACCTTCGTTGTCTGTGTGTACTAACACCAAGGATGTTGAATATTCTTATTAACAGAAAAACTGAAGAGGTCTAGCATGCGCACCCAAGCGACTCAAACTGACCAACCTCAGCCTATCCAGATGATGGGAAAGTCGTTACCTCAATTGGACATATGCTCTACGGCTGAGGATAAGGTCAGGTCGTCATTAGCTCCTTAGGGAATTCAATGAGCATGGTGCAATATTTTGAAAATATGTTATTTCTCAAAATTTTCTTCTATTACAGTGCCGGAAATGGCTATACGACCACCCAGTTTTCTCCAAATATTTTTTCTTGCACAAAAAAATTAAGGGATTCTAATTATACGAGGTTAAACTACGTTTAAAAACGGTTCCAACGCTATGCGAAAAAAATAATTTTCTCAAAATATATGAGAAGAAATAATGAAAATTACAAAAACCTAGAAGGAAATGGTTATAAGACCAGGATAGGTTTTTCTCCATTTTGGTATCTTTCTGTAACATTTTCACTTTAAAAAGTACAGCAATATAAAGAATATATTGATTTTCGTCATTTAGGGCCTTTCTGGTGTACTTCTGGTGTAGTTCAGTGTCCTCACTTATATTTTTTCGAAGTAAAAATATGCCAAATGGGACAAGACTCACTGAGGCCGAGAAGACGCAGTTTTCGGCTTTGTGAAATGCAGTAGAAGCCAACGGGACATCGAAATGGGAATAAAACGCTTAAAACCAATTGCACAATCATTTTTTTGCTAATCCGGGCGGCTACGGGTGAAAAAAGCACACTGTACCAACTCCAAAATTAACCGACAGGGATCTTAGGAGATTGTTTTCTGAGGCTTTTAAAACTTGTGCTACCTCTACTTCTTCTATAAAATTGGCCACTAGAGTTGATGTGACAGCACGACGCATCCGTTAGACATTGCATGACTCGAAGAAATTCAAATACATGACGAGGAAAAAAATGCCTCTGTGCTTCAACAAAAGCATATTATCAACCAACAAAAATTTGCTGAACAATATTTGCTTATTGGTAAGGGATGGCACATGATTACCTTCAGCGATGAAAAAAGTTCAATCTTTATGATCCAGATGGATGGCAATGCTATTGGCACCACTGGACCGTGAGCCTGAATTTTTTTGTTAGCGGCAATCTGGTGTTGGTTCGGTCATGGGTTTTAGGGCGTTTAGCTGAAAGGGAAAATCAACTCTAGCTATTTTACATGGGAGACAAGATTCCGAGGCTTACAAGCACACGCTGTTTTACCAACTTCTCCCTTTTGCCGATGAGAAACATGAGGGAACATATGTTTTCCAATAAGACAATGCTTCGATTCACACCTCAAAATCAGCAAACATGTGGTTCCTAGAGCAGAATATTACTCTGTTGCCGTGGCCGGCGCTTAGTCCTGACCTCAACCCCATTGAAAACTTATGGGGCATCATGGCGAGGGATGTTTACCTAAATGAGCGCCAGTTTCAATCTGAGTGACCTGAGCACGGCTATCCTTCGTTCTTGGGATAATATTTCTCAAAAGACACTGGATTATATGGTAAATAGCGTGGGGAGAAGATGCATTGAGGTAATTATGGCGAAAGGAGGTGAGATTGCCTATTAAAATGAGTGTATGTGATCCACAAACGGAAAAACATATCTTGGTCTTATAACCATTTCAACCTAGGTTTTTCTAATTTTCATAATTTCTTCTCATGTATTTTGAAAAAATTATTTTTTTTTTCACATAGCGTTGGAACCGTTTTTAAACGTAGTTTAACCTCGTATAATTAGAATCCTATGATTTTTTTGTGCAAGAAAAAATATTTGAAGAAAACTGGGTGGTCGTATAGCCACTTCCGGCACTGCAGAAGGTTTGTTTCAAGTTTTTTTATGAGAATAGCCTAGGTATTTTAATTCACGAAATGTGTAAAATACTTGCAAAAACTTTGCACCTCCTCGTGATCGCTGGTGCACAATTTTATTATCGTTTCTCTGTGTCAAGAATTTAACATTTTTTCCGAAATTGAATTATAATTCATTCCACTTGTTTCCTCAGGCGCGGATGGTATCTCAAGCTGCGCAGACAATGAGTAACGGAGATCTCGACCCTCACCGACGGCTGGTAAAAAGTTTGTCCGAAGCAGCTAATTCCGATTTAGTGCGCTGCGATCTTTATGACTTGGACCGATTAGCTCCTCCAGCCCGATATCAAAACGAGAGTCGCATGCAAAGAGTTCCATCGTTTGATCTGGCTGAAGATGAGTATTCCTTATCTCCACATGATCTGAGAGGCTTATCTGAATCATCAGATGTGTTCCTCTCTGAGTCTCCAGTAAAGTGCAGAAAAACTGCATTGCACAAAACTATGTCTGAAGGAGAAATACTTCAAGAAAAGAAACGAGCATTGAAACTTTCATCAGGCTACGTGGATGTTGAAATCAATGGTTGCAACGATAGTGAGGAGGATATCATAGAACCTCACTGTGTGGATGAATGTTCCCTTGATCTGTCTCATAGCAGAATATTTAGCCAAGAATCTTTAATCGACGATGAACAGCTCGACGAGGATTCTTTCCACGAGTACCTGCTCGCTGATGATTCCGCTACACCCAGTTCTGAAGCCCGGAAAATTTCAGTTGTATCATCAGATACAGGCGTGAAACGATGCGATGCCAATGAAATCAGAGAAGAAAATATTATACAAAACAAACTCGATACTAAATTTTTCGAAATGCGTCCAAATCTGGAAGAAGAAAGCCCTGAAGTTTCTCCCATCGAAGTATCTTCGTACCATGAAATATTAGATGCATGCGAAGAGTCCGTGAGTGAAAGCCAAGTCACGGTAGTTCCTCGGCGTCTCAACTTAGGTGGATCTGGGCAATTAATAATGTCAGATTCGGAGAACGGAAACGCGGTGATGCCAGAGCACTCCGGGAAAAACCTGTACGTTAAACAGAGCAGCTTGTACGGGTCTTCGTTAGAAGAAGATGAGGAATCATTGAGACTACGAGCCACGATGAGCCGACCTAGCATTACTAACTTGTCTAGCCTGTCGGATGCTCCCTCAAATACCACAGAATATCTGACTCCTGATAGTTTCATTGCTCCTACTTCGCCTAGTTCTTCTTCCAGTGACTGTGACAAAGCCATAGCTTCATCAACTGATGAGTACGGGTCTGTCATAAGTGGAGATTCAATGACTGTCAAATCGGATGGCTTTGATCATGATGGTGAAGACCCTGACCTGATCATTGAAGAGAATTATATGGAAAAGCTCGTTCAAGAGCTAAAAAGTTCTGATTTTTCCCCATCTAAACTTTTATCTAAGCTGGAATCTCGTAAGAGAACATCTCCCGAGTCTGATTCGTCCAGTAGCCATTTTACGGATCTTGAGTTCACGGGGAGCGTAATGACAATTCATTCAAAATCTGATACGTCTCGGTCTAACTATAATAATACAAACAATAAGTCGCAGTCAGAAAATTCGGATGGGTATATTTCCGCTGGCGAATTTTCAAGTTCTTCTACAGATAAGAGCCGCTGTATAACAGAAGAACGACATGTTTCGTCTCCACCTAGAATGGAGGACATTGTGGAGTGCGAGTCCATCATAACTCCCATTGTATCGAGTGCTCTTCAAATAGATTCTAAAAAAGACGCTAGAGAAGGCTTCGATATTCTGAATAGTGATTTTGAAACAGCTCAAGATTTGACATCCCCCGTCTCTGATACCACCACATCTGCCAGCTATCAAATCAGTGAAGAGAATGATATGACCAAGCCAATGATTCCACCAAATTCGAGCAAGTCCTTCATGTTTAAGCCAAATGTACCTCCTAAGCCGGAGAGGTTTTCTCCATCAAAAGAATCTAAAGAGAGGCCTTTGATTCTAAGAGCCGAGAAAGCTGTTAGCACGAGGCAAATTTCGGCGACAGAGATCAGTGGAAAATCAGCGTCCATAGCATACACAAGACCTTCTTCAAGAAATGCTGAAGGTTCGGAAACTGATTCACAAAAAGTAGATTCGCAAAATTCAAACCGTTTTTTTGATGTTGACAGCAATACGACTGAGGATAGTGCAGACAACCAAGGAGATGGCGAAGATTCAGATAGTGAAAATCAGCTTGAAATTTGGTCTGAAGAAGAACGAGAAAAACTGAAATCTGGTATGAAGTTGGATTTTCCTGCTTGTCCTCCTACTTGCTCAGAAAGTTCTCAGCCATTTGGGAAAAACGTTAGGGAGCAAGATATGAAAAAATTGAAAGTATTTGAGTGCAAATCAAAGAAAATCGAGCATTCAGATCAAACGAGGTCTACATATGTTCCTTTGGGACAGAGGACCATAGACAATCAAGACAACGGCCATTCTCTGGCCAACGTCGAAAAGAAGTATCAGAAGGAGAAGAACAAAAGCAAAACTCCCGATGAAGTTACAACTCCAGGAATGGTTCGCAGTCCCGCCATGCATGAAGGGTTTAGAGTTCATGAATGGACTCCTGTGCGAACACCAGGAACACCCGAAAAAATCCTTGATTTTGACACATCAGACGATTCTGGAACAGATCACTCACCTCGTTTACCTAAAGCAAAGAGCCCCAATCGTCCACTAAAAGAACCACGAAAGAAATCGAGTGAGGTTAGCCGGAGAACCGACTGTTCCAATTTAACTAAAACTTCTTCTTCGTCTAACATCCGAAATGCAAACTTCTTCTCACACTCTCAAGAACGTAGTGATTCAGTGGACCTAAAACTGTCCCCTACTCCCTGGCAAGAGACACGACCGAGTTCGAGCATCCCTACTTACAGACGGGATAGTTTGATACACGATTCACCAGTACCATTGGACTTTGAACCCAACTATCATTCTGCGCATCATAACGATAAGAACGGCCATCACGCGACTCTTTGCACTCAATGTGGTGAACGGCCAGCATCAAGAGAAGGACTATTGAGATCTACACCGTCTCCCCAACTTATGCATCCAATACCGCATGCTGCACATCGCCAACAATTGGGTCACCAGTTTTACGTGATGCAAAAATCACCTAGTCTCCAACATACTTTCCCTCCAGAGCTTAACATGAACAATGTACCAAAAACTCGGCCACTGCCTCCGCGTGCTCGCTCTGAAGAACGCACTGCTTTCAACAGGGATTGGAGGTTCGGCATTATTTGTAGTTGAAACGATATTCCAAATTTATTTTCATACTTTTTAAATTTGGAAATTGATGGCAATCAGAATAACTTGAGTACGGTACTAAATGGGTACTTCGAGAAATTCCTGTATATGACGAGTTTTTCGATTGGCCAAAACGCTTTCGATTGGCTAAAACGTCAACACTGATTTGTAAATATATATTTTTTAAATTTCGGCTTAGCTAATATTAAATAACTTGTTTATAATATCTTGTGTTGCTAATAGGTTCTCAGGCCACAGCCTGGAATGGGGTGACCACCCCCGGCAGGAGGGCGAGGACGACGAGCGCGGCGTGCACTGTGAAGCGTACAGAGCCTTCCCCTGGCTGCTGCTCGCTGCTTGGGACGAGCTCAGGGTAAGACAGCGGTCATTCTTTTATATAATCCATATTGAAGAGATATCCTACTTTATATAGAATGTATCATAAATAACTTTATTGTAAATATTACCATGTAGAAAAATGACACCGATAATATTTTCTAGTACTGCCATCACGAATAATATACCAACAGAAGCATTCATAAACATTAGGGCATTGTTTAAAGATATTTAATCATAATTTTAAAGGTATGGCGCAAGGATAGTGGGCCTTCCACAATACCGATCCCTCCGCATGTACGAATTAAAGGATTCGATAGCGACGAAGAAAACGCAGACGACCAAAACACGGAAGCAGCTGCGAACAGACGAGGTTCCGGAGATTCGACGTGTAGTGAAAAAGACTTCAGGAGGAAATATCAGGCCGTCACACACCGTCTTGTGCACAGGAAGGCTTCCATAGAAATGTTTCGTCGGCTCGCCAATAACACTTTCCGTGAGTTTGTCCTTCTCGAGTTGAAATGTGTTGCTTCAATATTTTCAGCAGTTCCTGTCAATCATCGTTTTCATTCTACTGGTAACATTGTGGTATAATGATAGCCTTTTTTGAAACAAATGTTTCCATTGTTTGTTATGATGATTTTTATTTCTTTAATTAAAAATAATGCACATTTTTTGCTCATAACAATGATGATATTGGTTTACAAATCATGTGCTTTTTATCGTTATTTAGTTACAGTTCTTTTAATGAATTATGTAGCTTCGTAAATACGATGACATTTATTCAGATTTTTATTCTGCTTCTAACACATTTCTTGCTATCTGAATTACTTTTTTATTACGAATTATTTATGTTTATATAGTTCTCATTGACGCATCATTTACTTCATTGCCACTAATCATTTATTTAATTTATTCCTCGTTCGCAGAGTTTATACTAAACGCCCAACGTATTGCCTCTGATTTTCATCAGTATTTATGTCTAGTTTCGGTGCGTGTGTTGGGCTCCGAGTATAGCCTGGGCAAGTGCCAGACGTGCGTGCCGCTCTGTTATGTCGCTTTAGTGACTTGATGGAATGAATGCAATGCGAATGAACTTTATTTAATACAATAATTTCCTTCAAGTGCGACCTTCACCGCATCAGATACGAGACTCATTGCATGCGTGCGTTTGGGGTGACTAACAATGCGAGGCGTATTTATCTGGCTTTTAATCCAATTTGATGCTTGGAACTCTTTTCAAATGTTCAATTTTTCAGTTCCTTCTTGAGATTTACTTCAAGCAGACACATACCTTAAAAACTCGTATGTTTTTGTTGGTATTGATCTATTACCGGTTTAATCGATAATCTTAGCCTAGTCAGTAGAAGCTGTCATTACATTCTTTTTTCACGACACATTTAATTTCCCTTTTAGCGCATTTTCTCATTTATGAAAAAATGCACTATTGTGCTCGCCATGTCCGTCTGTCCGTCCGTGACTTCACGTTTTCGTCGACGAGAAAATGCGCTCTCTGTCTCTTACTGCAGTGAGTACTGAGTTATATTTTTTTAAGTACTTACTATACTGCGTTGGCTGCTCACTATTGGGCAGCAATTTTGCTAACCCTCGTTAACATTGTTTACCCCGCTTCCTCCGTTGCATACTCTTTATGCATTACTTCTCCGAATGGATGACTTTTTATATCGCTGTTCAATATTGTGACTGCGTGTGTTTGCAGCAGTCATGCATGTTGCAATGCAGGCTCGTGCTTCAGATGTGCAGCAGCTGCAGTTCGCTGGCACCCGCCGCGCTGTCCGCAGTCAAAGCTGTGTCCAAGAATTGCATTGTAGAATTAAGCTTTCGTGGACCGTAAATGTGGAAAATCAACTAAAAGAAAATTTATTTTTCCAGTGTGGCCTAAGACGTTGTGTTGTTGAGTGCATTACAGTGAACTACTCTTCAATCATCCCATTTTCAGAGGTTATTATCAGATAGTATCGTTGAAATAAGGTATTGCGAACAGAGCTATTAACGCTTTATTCTGGGTTCATCGTTTGCACATTGGTGAACTTTCGAAAGTAAAATTTTGTATCGCAAGTGAAGAATTTAATATTTGAAATATTTATATTTTAAATATAAAAATATTTACATTGAAGCAAAAATTAATGATTTCAACATAGCAGTAAAAATAGAATACAGGTTATTTACGATAAGAAACGCCTTAAAACGTGAAATTTCTTTCAAATAGTTGACGAAGTTAGAAATATTCACTGTCTTATTTTTAATGCTAGATATATATAGTACTTTCTTACTCTTCGCTGATCTAAAATCAATAAAACAACTAGCTGTGCAATTGTTCTTGGTACAGCAAGTTATTTCATGGGGGCAACTGATGTGGTGCAGGGCATTTCTTTTACCATTGGTTGCTTAGGCTTCATTTTCAGCACTTTCGTAGATTTGAAATGAAGTTTACTAGCCGGTTGGAAACTTGACTTAAAACTTTAAATTTTATGTTGATATTGACCGTAAATATTCAATAAAACATGCATGATTTTATCGATTTGCAGATGGTGCAACTTTATATGATGCGTAATGTGCGCTAGTTCAGTTAATCCTGTTATTTATGAATATTGTTTGAGATAACGAACGAATTAATAACTTAGCTATGGAGCCCTCAAGAAGTAGTTCGACATGTTACGACTCAGGTGAGCGGATTAAAAATAGCTTGCATCACATTTTGAGGAAATTCCAATTTGTATGAAGGCAAATTGAAACATGAGCTATTAAGTCAGGTCTTTATAAAATGAACATCCTGATTCGTGTTGCATCCATTGATGCATTGCTGCATTTCTTAAACGCAATTACGCATTTTTTTAAAAATTATTACTGAAAATTATATTGAAAGATCTGAATTCGTCATACTCATGGATTTCTTTTCTTTTTTCGTTCTCACCCCGACCTTCTCTCATGATCATAAATTACACAACTTCCCTTCCACTTCCCCACACTGTTCTTGTTTTAATTTTCGCAAAAAAAACTCGTCGTCCATTGGCATGACTGAAATATTATCGGGCTATTATATATCACGAACGAGTTTATTGGGCCAATAGCCATTGAAATGACACCCAATCCTTCTCCATCCCCTCCAATTTCCTATCCTCCACCGGTGGCGTCGCTTCAGAGTTCGGTTCATCAGAACTCTCTGTCTTCATCCAGGGCAAAATTTCGTCCACGTCTCGAAACCACAGAGTCTTCATTGTCGGATCACACTTTTGATGGACGGCTCGAGGCTCTCGGACCACCAAAAAGCAAATTTTGCAAAAATACATCTTCGAGCTTATACCAAAATGATGGAAGAGACGTGTCAACGTTATCACAAGTTTTTAAACGACAATGGACTAACCAGCAGACTCAGACCGACAGTAGCTTTCTTACCTCAAGGCAAGGCCTTTCCGTTCTCAAAGATGAAAGCAGCTCTCTTGGAACATCGGTACTTTCTCCTTACCCAAAACGGCGGTTTGCATCCATCAAGGACATAAAATCTGCCTTTTCAATTTTGTCTAAATCTGATCGAGACAAAGATGCCGAGATCTCTGCAGATTGCGATTCATTTCGACTGAAGCCCGTAGCAGCTCAAAAGACGAATATTAAATCTAATGAAAATTCCGATCATTCAACTCCAAAATGTTTCCAGTGTTATGAATTTATACCTATATCTGCCCCAATACATTCCGATTATTTGCTTCCGAAGTCCTTTTTCAAGAAGCGACGAAAGTCTGATGAGCTCGATAATTCAGGAACACTCTCTGCTGATAGGCATGAGACATCTCTAGGTTATGATTCTTCACATCGACACTCTCGATCTACTTTCCCATCAAGTAACTCGAATTCGCTCGCTTCGTCGTTCGCACATTCCGATTCCAGCAGCTCTCGTAGGTCAGTAGCATCATCGCCTTCGTTTCCTGCTGACGGCGACAGCGCAGACTCCTTAGTCCTCACTTCAGAGATTCCATATTGCTTTAATCGCGTTGCTCTTCCTCAACGTACACAAGTTTCCCCTTTCCAACCGAATAACGCTACAAATTTCAAATACGATGTCACTGCAATTCAACATGAAGGTGTCATTTCCTTGTTAAAAAATGATGATACAACTTTTCAGCAACATGACGAACTGCCTCACGAACGAAATGATTTAGCTCTCCGTGGCACAAATGTTTCTCTTTCTGGAAGAATTCGGGCAAGAAATACTTTGTTATCGCTTCTGAAAGTTGAAGGAGCCGGTACTAGTCTTAGTTCGCCTTGTACAGCTGCTCAAGCCCGAAAGCCAAAGGTAGAGAGCTCATCAGGCCCAGCAACACTTGCATCGTTACAAATACCTCATTCAAATTCGGCTTCTTCTGAAAAAGAGGAGGAAGTATTTACTCGTGAATCAATTGAAAGCGGAAGAAGCTGTTTGATGAATGTTTCTGCTTCAAGTGCATGCAATGATTTGAAATTTATACCGTCTCTCCATCGAAGTGAAAAGACTTCAAATATTCATTCGATGCCCGATAACTCGTCGTTTTTAGTAGACAAAAGCAGGGAAGTTCAGATTGAAAATTCCAATTGTAGTTCCAGCAAAACTGAAAGTAACACGTCAGTTGACTCTCCGCACACAGAAGTAGTTTCTTCCTGTTCGCTTCGGAATCAAGATTTTTTCTATTTCTCGACAAGCCGTACCGATGGATTGGAGTCTGAACCGATCAATACCTCGCATAATGCATCTCCACATCTCGAGTCTCAGTCTCTTCAAACTGCTAACACACAGAATCAGACTAATTCCTTGTATCCTAGTTCAACCCTTTATCCTTACTCTCCTCATACTTTGGCCTCAACATCACCAACACTCACTAGTTCCAGTCAAGGCTCATCACAATTCCTGTATCCTGAACCATCGTTGAATCAGGGAGCCAAAAGCAGTGTCATCAGCCATGTGATGGAGCATCTCTTCAGGGACATGCTGCGCTTGTGGTGCCGACAGAACCAAGCGGGCAGGTTCATAGACCAGCGTGATACCGGTCGGTATGATCTGGCGTTTCTTGCGAAACTTTCAGGAATTTGTTTAAGAGAAAGATTGGTATTACTCTCAACGAAATTTTTACTATTTCAAGGACCTTGAATTTTTTTCTTCAGTTATGACAGAATATTACTGAACTCTCTTTTTGGAATGGTTTCTTCCGTGTTACTAACACCTAAATGCATAGGATATTTAGGATATTAGTCGAGTTGAGAAGTAATTCACAATGATCAACGAGCATCACTGATTCTAATTAGATAAAAAATTGTTCTGAAAATCAATTTAAAATCTGGTTATCGATTCTGGGAACGAATTGGAAATTACGATGCCGGACACAACAATCGGTTGACCCGCAGCTAACGGGGAATCGTTAGCTGGGCAATGCGATTCTATGTGGCGATACGAAACATTTAAGGGTAGTAGAGCATTCGTCACGTGGCACTTTTGCGCTTATTTTATTTCTGGGAAAATATTTTTGTGATAAAATTATTATATTGGTCCTATTTAGAGAGATAGGCGGATATAGATATGACCCCAGACCTTGTTGTGCCACAGACAAGTAAAACGTGGTCTTCTCTCTCAATAGGGAAGAAAAATTGTCACGTTATTCAAGAGTAAAATGCTCACAAGGTTGTAGTATACTTCACCCAATAAGTATTGCACTGAATAAACATCTAGTCTCGGTGACGAATTTAAAGTTTCGTGGCATTTGACAAAAATTTCGCAGTTTAGCCAATTAGCGGAAAGAACAAAGTCGTTTTGATTAGACGCGAATTCTTTTAGTGACGCATTACGCCCCGTGCTGCTTGACCGTGTGCCAATTAAAGAGGCAAGAGGGTTTTAAGGGCCAAGGCGAGTGAGTCCCAAGCTGTGCGCTACACAAATGGCTTGCGCGCGCCAACAACAAAACACGAATACAGTATGTGTGACTCAGCGAACAGATGTAGGAGGGAATAAGATAATATATAATCCTTTCCTGTAACAATTATCATGACCGAAGCTGTTCAAGTAATGAGATATGAAGCTTCGTTATTCTGTACCGCAATTAGACGACCGTTTTTGTATGTTCACTTTCGTTGCGGTGCTTTTGACAGCTTCATTATTTACGCACATGCATGTTATTAATGTGGACCGGGCTCTACTACCTCATAAGCCTAATTTAATTTATTTTTATAACATGATTAATAACACCCGTAGTGAGATTCATGTGCTATTTTTCTAACATAATAATCCCAATTAACCATTGTTGCATTCGCCGCAGTTCTCTTTTCTAAACTTGTTCATTCTGTTTTCACGTAATATATGCATTTTTCATCGAGTTATTAGCAAACTAATGCTGTCTCATAATTCAACTAAATAAAGTATTTGTAAAAAGCATTGGTTGCTTGCTATAACTTTTTTCTCGTGTTTAAAATTTTAGTTTTTCTTTTGATAAAACAAAAATTTACTAAATGTACAAAAATGTGATTAAATGTACAAAATTAGCTATTTTAACGTTTTTTCTTTTGCAACCAGTATTCGAATCATTTTATGCTTACCATGCAGTGAACAACCTACAATTTATGTCCGCAAAATATTAATAGATTATTGTTCAACGCTGAACTCATCCGTTGTGAATGTGAATCAACAACTAGGTGATATACAGTTATTCTGCCCTGTAACTTGTTTAAACTTTTGTTTACTACCGGTAACTGTGATTACCAGGCCTTCGAGAGGAATAGCAGGAACGACATTTAATATGTCAGCGAAAAAATATAATTCGGTACTCACTGCAGTGAGTGACAGAGAGCGCATTTTTTCGTCGACGAAAACGTGAAGCCACGGTCAGACAGACGGACGGACATGACGAGCACAATAGGGCATTTTTCCATAAATGAGAAAATGCGATAAAAAGAGTCAAATCTTCGTTCCACAAGGTTACGAGTTACAAGGTTACAAGGTTTTTGTTGCATTCAGAAAGCGATCGAACGGTCTACGTATCTCGCGCATCGGGCGAGTTTGGTTTCCGGATCCACGGGTCGCGGCCTGTGGTTGTGTCCGCTATTGAGGTGGACACGCCGGCCGAGACGTCGGGGCTGGAAGTGGGCGACATCGTCCTGTCCATCAACGACGTTAGTGTCCTCGAGGCCTCGCACTCCGAGGTTGTCAAGCTCGCACATTCTGGTGAGTTAAACTCCGTAATTAAGCATCAGTTCATTTTGAATTAGTTTCCAAAATTGCTTTTTTAGTTACAGGGATTGAAAAATCTCTACGTGTAGTCATATTTCTCGTTCTAATTCAAGGATCTTTAATACGTATGGTAAGTCAAGTTCATTCTCGAACATTTATTTCAATGTCAAAGTTGGCGAATCTATGATTTATCTTCTATAAGTTTGAAGTTGGGCTGCCAAAAAAGCTGTATTCACTCCTGTGTGTTATTTACTAGCGTCAATCGAGTTATTTATTAGCGCCTATTTAAAGAAAAATTGAGACGAGCACCCTTCCTATACGACAAAAATTCATGCACCCTTCCTATACGACAGGCAAGAATTTAATGCTATTGGTGTCATCTTATAGAAAGCGAATCATGAACCACGTAGCATGGATAAATTAGGAGAAGACTTAGGGTTTTAATTATAAGTTTTATACCGTACTGCGCACAATGAGATTGTTTTATTTTGTGCGTGATATTGGTGTCATCATTAATAATTACATAATAATTAGTAGAATTTTCAGCTATAAATCATGCGATTAAATATCATAAACACTAATGTCATGCCAACCATACAGCACACTGATTATTTACTTGGGTTCAGGCGGGTGCGACACCTTGAAGCTGGAGGTGGCTCGAACCTGCAACTTGCTGGCCCCGCTGATCACCACAGACCCCACGCCGCTCTGCGCCGGCTACCTCTACAAGTTAGGAGCTGCGCACCGAGCGCCAGGGTCTTCTGCCATCACCCGACGCTGGCACAGACGATGGTTCGCCTTGACCAAGGACCATTGTCTCTACCACTACAAGCGTGAAGGAGTGAGTGCAATATTAGCGTGAGCAAGATCTCGAGAATGACGATGCTCTATTTGTATTTTCGTCTATCTTTTTATTCTCATTCGCTTTCAAGCTCCAAAATATGTGTTACAAGGGTCAGCGTATTGTTGTAAGACTGAATTGACGATTGAACAAGCACTGCACGACACAACTGGAGAAGTTAGGCTTATTAGCATTGTAAATTACTAGGTAATTACCGCTACTAGATTTAACATTTAACCCATTCATCACTTTTTATCCTAACACCGTAACTCTGTGAATGTGTTCAGGACCCACACCCGCTGGGGGCTGTGGTCCTGAGAGGCCACACGGTGCACGCGTTCTCGACGGCGTCGCGGCCGTACGCGTTCACGGTGTCGCTGGCCGGGGAGGTCGGCCTGCAGCTCGCCGCCCACACCGCAGAGGCCAGGGGCCGCTGGGGCCACGTCATCACGCAGGCCTCTGAGCAAGCCGCTCAGGTTACTTTTATATTATATGATATTCAATTGTTTGTTGGATTTTCAACATATATCGACGTGCCAATAAATTGTTGGATGCAAAACATTATTCTGAAAATTAAAAATGTCTATAGACATTGAATAGTTTGCCGAGTGTGAAGCAGTTTGATAGCTATTTAAACGACATCAAGATCTTCGACAAGATATTTCAATTTCAACTTTTCTACCTAATTTACGCAAAAACTTCTCGTTCTCAAGTTTGTTACATATTAAATTTTTTTATCGATGATTGATGATCCTGTTTAATAATTACAAAATTGGTATTCAAGGTGCCATTCATCTCTGGATGGCGTTTTACTTACTTGAACATTTCTCTTGCAGAGAGATGAGCTCCTGGAAGCATCAGCGCGCCGAGTCCAGCAAGCTCCAGGCTCCATCGCAGCTCCAGATTGCTTTGGTTACTTGCACAAGTTAGGCGCGAGGTGGCACCTCTGGAAGAGGCGGTACTGTGTCCTCAAAGACGCCTGCCTTTACCTCTACTACGACACGGACGCCACCCAAGCTATCGGTAGGCTAATTTGGCCCGAAACTATGATGAAACAATCGGTAGGCTAATTTAGCCCGAAACTATGATGAAATAATCGGTAGGCTAATTTAGCCCAACATTATCATGGACCAACAAGACATTAGGTTTCCTTTTTATTTAAATATAGGTAATATTCCTTATTGTATGTGCTTGTTTTGAAAAAAAGCATAATTGAGGAAGAACGAAGTTTATAACCTATGATATGTAAAATAATGGATTTATGGACACCGGTAAAGTTTAGGTTTTTGTTGTAATTTTCCGGAAATAGCCAGCGGTAAATCTTCAGTTTTGTGTCGTAACAAAGATGTCGTCGGATTGAAATAAATAGTAAACAAACCCTGATTTAGATAAGAAAGATGGCCGACTCGTACGCTATTTTTGCTGTGGAAAAATTTTTTGAGGTGAATGAATTTTATTAAACACACAAGGAAATATATAAATGTGGTTCTGAACATGAAAATATCCATTATCGAATATTAATTTAAAGCAAAAACGTCTGGTGGCGACGATGCGTTTGCTGCACAGGCCATATGCGAAAGCTGTTCATTAGTTAGGTTATTCAAATCCGATGTTATATGAAAGACCTGGATATGAAAAACTCGCATCCAAAGGATGGAGTCTTGAATTGGATGAGGTGAAAGGAAGAGCGCCAGAAGTAAACTATCCGTTGCTTGTCGAGAATGAATGACGGCTGTGATGTCATTTTGACTTGATGAGAATTTTCGGCGGGAAAAATACTTGAAAATTGTCATCAATGCAGTTGCAAAATTGATGCTAAGACAAATTATTACGTGGTATTGTCTCGGAATAATAATTTCTCAACTGTAGAAATTATCATGAAATTTGTCTATTTGGCATTTCAGGCGTGGTATACCTGCACGGCTACCGCGTTCAGAGCACATCAATCGGTGGCAAGAAACACGTATTCGAGCTGCTTCCTCCCGAGTCCAAGTTCAGACACTTCTACTTCCATGCCGACTCCGATTACGACAAGAAGAGGTTTTTGTCATAATTGTGTGAATACATTTCACTCCTTTGACTCGTGCATCATTTATTCATTTTTACATTGCATACTTTGCACATTTATTATCGTATTGACACTATTATACGATAAGCTCTGTGATTATCATTGTTTCCTGTAATTCAATTCATTTTATGTATATCTTCTGATGATCAGAAAACCCCTGTGAATAAATAATTTATTTTTTATTTAGACTTCAAGATCGTTGAAAACTTACAAGATTTCGGTGTGTGTTAATTCCATTCAATACCTAGTTATTTTGTTACTGTGTAGAGTCAAGCGATCTTCACGCTTACCAATTAAGAATAAGAAAGGAGTTTTCAATATTATCCAGTCCGTACTAGAGTTCCTCATACCCCACAATTACACCTTTCTTACCGATCAGTATTTGGTATTGCTCGTAAAGAGACGATACTAATGTTAGAGCAAATTTTGGAAATTTCGACACAATTTGGCCCGAAAGAAAAGTACGCTAACCTGTTATCAATGACGACGATTGATCAGATCAGGCCACAAATTATCATAAATATTTTCTTCGATTGCGAGCTCTGGTTCTGCGTATGTTTTCCGTCCGCTACAACATTGTTCGGATAACATTGTTCAAATTAACTAGCCACGGATATAATTTTCAATACGTGCAATGTTTATTCATTAATTAACACTCGTTGCAGGTGGTTGGCTGCGTTCGAGTACTCCATAGATCGCTGGATAAAGCTGGCGTGACGTTAAGCCGACGGTGCACTCACCTCCAGTTGCCTTCCCTCGTTCCAGCCCCAGACCAAATGTGGCCAGCTTCCTTCTGACGCGCTATCGGCAATACGGAGATGACGTGCCTACCTCTACATGCCGATCTTCTTCTACCTGTAAAGCTCAGCCTTTGAAGCCTAACCATACATCCCGATGTTCTTTTGCCTTTAAAACTCGGCCTAAGAAGCCTACCTCTACATACCGATGTTCTTTTTCCTGTAAAACACGGCCTAAGAAGCCTACCTCTACATACCGATGTTCTTTTTCATGTAAAGCTCGGCCTAAGAAGCAATTGCAACCTCAAACTTCGGTGTGAGATTTCGTAACATCATATTGTTGTCAAGTTCTGATGTTAGACGGGGATGTACGGAATATCACTCTGGAGAACTCAAAATTTGGATGCATTTTATGTAGCGTGATATCAAAAGTTGTTCGTAATCGTGCTGCGGAACAATAAATATGCTGGGTATTGAACGAAGGTATCTACCAATGCTGTTTATTTCCCATTTATAATGCTCGTTGTCCTTTCCATTTGCCAGCCTCAATTAATATTCAACTAAACTAAACGCCTAAAAAGACTTAATTCACAGACATGAGTTTTCATATTTTTTTAAATGAGTCATTTTTACCATGGTTCTTGATACGTTGTAAGAAGTTGGTTAATTTTTAATTAGATTGAATCAGAGCTAATCCATTGAAGTTAAAATGTTTTCTAATCGAGTGAAATGAGGTTAAATTATAATTGAGATATAAATCTTTTGGAAACAGAAATAAATGATGTTGATTTCTCTTAGCATTATGTTTCACAACTTTTAATGAAAAATTTGTTATTTCAATTGTTAAATTTCTCGTCAATTTTGCGTTTTATCGATGAATGATAAAAGTTTGTAGAGAATAATGCAAGCCTTAAACTTGGAAGTAGTTTAGCCTGGACATGAACAGGACGCAATCACAGTTCGCCTCGCTCAATCCCTTTTAATATTTATCCTGCACTATATCCACTTGGTGTTCATGTGCAAATGGATTAAATTTATCTGTCAGTGTTTAATTGTTCCAATGTATCCTGATGGGCCTGAAGTGTTGATTGCGCAATAAGTTTAAGTTTCTACTGACCAAAATAAATGTTTAATGAATGCCCGCTCCTTGCATTTCCTGCTGGCACGTGGAGAATAGTATGCGCGAATATTAGGTTTCTAACAGAAATACAGATTGATACTCCATTATGTTGAGTTAATTGGGACAATACCTCGATTTATGCGTGTTATCTCTTATTAACTGAGACATTGGCTGGAGCTTAAGTTTGGTTCCAAATAATTTGAATTATTTCAAGAACCCGTGGAAGGATTTATTGGGGGAAACTGTTTCCAGGAGACCGAGTTGATGTTTTCCTTGGAAGTGTTTACTTGTGAACGCGTCTCTGGTCTAATGAATATGGCCATGTTTTTGTACTGGTAGTTGACCTAAGCGCACAAGTAGTCAACAAATATGGCTCATGTGAACGTGTACTGACAATCTTCTATATTTTTGCTGCTTGTTTCAGTCCCCTTTACTAGGCCTAGTAATATTCCTGTATAAAAAGTCAAGCCTGTAAGTATCTTTTCCCAGACGTAGTGCTTCACATGAGAAGGGGACTGTATTATGCACGTGAAAATAACGTTATGAAGATTATCTTCTCTAAGTTTAGATTTTGGCGCTGAAATACTCAGTTATATTACCATTTTACTTGGCGATGAGCATTATATTTCCTGTGCTAATTAGTGTCTGCTTGACAGCTGGCAAGAGCAGAAAATCAAGGAGAGACTTGCTTGTCCGATCATTGCAGTATTCTGGGCTATCTGTCAGCATTATCCCCAACTGATTTTCCATTGATATTTGAACCATCGCTGCTAGTTTTTTTTTTCTTTTTTCATTAACATTCACGATCCAAGATATCTCTGTTTTTATTACGTATTAAAATCTCTACTTTATGCTTCAACTTATTTTCGATCTAATCGTTTTATTTACCAGATCAGAATTTAATACTGTGAGCACTACCGAAGTAGTTCATTTTACGATAATTTTTCGCTACTCGACTTGTCATACGAATCTGTCAAATTCATTTTTTCGAGTAGTTTTGTCTGATGCTTGCAATTGTAATTGCTGGCAAGATTGTAAATAGAAATTGTAAAGATGTAGTCTGGATGATTCATTAGCATTTTTGCATTCAATTAGCCGAATAAAGTTTTGAGTTAGAAGCATTTCTGCACATTCAAAAAATTGAAATAATTTGAACGAGATGTAAGTAATTTCTTGATTATTTACGTTCTAAGGAAACAATTTTTTTCAAGCACAAAAATTTTATTAACATTTTATTCGTTCCGCCATTTTATTTTTAGAACGCCTTGTTGATTTGCACTTAATTTTTTCGTGGTCTGGAGCTACCATTGACTGACGCTCGTTCGTTAATCACTACAAGAAGACTATAGACAATTTCTTATATTATTATTTGTTAGACTTTATGTAGTTAGTCAAATGGTTACCTTTCGAGAACCACCACATGTATTTTTTTTAATAGCATCTTAGCGTGAGTTTGTATCTAGTCAGTTTGTTGAATGTGTTCTACCCTTTATAATAGTTCTAAATATCGGCTCGTTGATCTGTCTGTTGTGCTCCTTATTCAGTATTATTTATTCAATGTCTGGTTTATAACCTTGTGTTAAAACGCTGTAAAATCTCATTGCTTTCCTATGAATTACTTCGAATTCGTTTCCTATTAAGATGCTTCTGAAGCCTAAAAAAGAATAAGATTATTCTGCAAATATTTGGGTACGGAATTGTATGAGACTATTGGGTACGGAATTGTATGTACTATTCATAACATAAGAAGCTGTGAGCTACTCGATCATTTTAGTTACCAATAAAATATTTATCTTTAGTAGGACCAGAACGATCTAGTCTCAAGTATCGAACAACTTATTTAAGTACTTAGTCAAACTTAATTGCCGTCCTACATACTTTAAGGCCTGGCAAAATTTTAGGCTTATGGTAAATAAATGCCAATATAAATTTGAACAGAATCAGTCTAGTCCAGAAGGCGTGTTACCTCGAATATTCTCAGATGCAAGAAAATATAAAATATCTTTGTATTGTAAAAAATTGTAACCTCTAATTTTTCTCTTTAGTTATTCATTCCTAAATCGAATCTGTTAAATCAGCATTAAAAAAATGCATCTACCTATTTTCACGTTATGTTTTTCATTATTAGTGTATTGCTAATCACTCGGGGAAACAATTCAATTCACTTTCATGTCATAAAATCTTTCAGTGTAACCTCTTACAATAATCTAAATGATCGTCGTGATTTCGATGTGTCCTGCCTAACATTGGACTTCGCCCATGATTGTTTCGCGACATCATCAAAATAATATACGTGTGTCCGACCATCCCGAAAGTTCATCACCGATTGATTGTGTCGTCTCTTGTTCGTCGTCATTAAAGTGTATCAACATCACCTGATGCTTCATCCTCTACGTACACCAAATGATCACATCGCTACGTGTCCTATACACCATCATGTAAGAATTTACCACGTACCCGTAATTTGTTGGTCAGTTGTAACACGGACCCACTCTTTCCAAAAAGGTTCATACTGTCAACATTTGAAATGCTACTAAGTACTGGGCCTCTATAGCATTAGATTCAAACTTTGATAAATTTCATGAAAGTATTAATTCAAGGACTGCGGTAAACTTTATTTCGATTTACTGTAAAATATTTTCCTGGAAAGGGGTGTCGGACTTTTATGCAGTAGGTGAAAAGTTCAAAGTTTTCCGTTTCTCCATTTTAAAACATCGTATAAACAGCTTTTTTCTCAGAGCTATTTAGCTTCAGGAGTTTCGCTGGATGTTCAGATGGAATGTTTTGTTTGAAATTTGGATGATCATGGGCGGCTCTTTACTGATTTCATAAATCACGGTATTAAACACCTATGGGCATTTATGTTACTTTGAAGGATTAATAAAGACGTATTCGCTAATTTTTAGCATCGATCGACTTTTTCATATTATGAAATTGAATTTTGTTCAATGAGGTAATTTAATATGCTTTTCAGAAATCGATTTCATGCAAAAAAAAAATATTTGCACGATACTTTGGTCATTAGTTAGTTTTGCCGTTTAGATTCCCTGCGTTTTCAACAACTTATCGTCCGTTTTGAGTCTTTTATGTATTGCAGTGCCAATCAAATATGTATGGAAAATATCTGGATTATAAACTATCCCATTGTGGTTCTATTTTACTCAAACCTATTCTTCAGTTCTCATTTACATATGCTGCAGTAGATAAAATATAATCTACCGTCTAATCACTACAAGTTTTACTACATTAGGACTGCTAGGAGTCCATGCATTATGTAGGAGTGCTACGCTTACTCTCGTATCCTCATTTCTCGATTAAATTCAATGCCAAATACAGACAACGCCTTATAAGTATTAATATCTCAATAAAGTAACGCTAGCCATTCAGTTTTTGCACTAAATATAATGTGAGCAATTAGATTTACCCTGTGTGAGTTGATAAATAAGAAACTGATTTAATAAATCTGAAGATCTGCGGAAAATGTCGGGTAATGAAATCCAAGATAATACTGTAGACTTTTTAGTAGTTTCAACATCACAAGAAAGATGATAATTTCTCATCACAACTTACTTTTAAAACATACAATGAAACATAAACTGGGATATATTCTGTGTAGGGGTATGTAGCATTCTTGGACCACATCGACACGTTTGGGGCGAATTTCCATTGCAGATTTTCCACGCACAAATTTGTCACAGCGAAACCGATCACAGGATTAAATTAAGAATGGAGATATTTGCTGACATTAGGCCCAGAATTATTTTTATCCGTTTCGATTTTAATAAGCGCGCTAAACGCTAAGTTTAAGCAGGTTCTCCACGCACAACTTCGTCAAATTGTGTTTGATATTATAATATTAATCTAATTAACAGCGATGCTATCTATATATCGATATCCTGCTAGTATCATGCGAGAGTTGTCAGAATTTTTTTTGTCCGTCTCGTTTTTGTTTAACGCGGTAAACGCTAAGTTTTAGCAGATTTTCCACGCATAAATATTTCAAATCGAAACTGATCTTGAATTAATCAACAACGAAGCAATTTATTTACAATACACTCCCAGCTGGCGTTGTCAGAATGAATTCTTTCCGTTTCGTTATCATGTATGATGCCCTAAACGCTAAGTTAGGCGCGCAAATAATTCTAATTCTTGGCCTTTAGGGCACTACGTACGTGAAAACAAAGCGGACCAAAATAATTCTGAAAACGCACGCAGGAGTGTATTCTGAATAAATGGCCTCGTTATTAAATAATTCAGGATCGGTTTCGATTTGAAATATGTATGCGTGAAAAACCTGTTATGGAAATTCGTCCCATGAGTGTGGATGTGGTCATTTTTGGATGCTCTTCCTTGAAATGAGAATTCAGCAGTTAATTCAATATAAATCAACAATTTTGTCGTTCTTTCATGGACTTTAATGGCTATCAGTAATGACCTCTAACGAGGAAATAAGATCCATCAAGATGTGCTTTTATCAAGAATCAAATGAAATGAAGCGTTTATACGGAGATAAAACCCTGTTTAAGCACAGACGAATGAAGTAATTGAACGCAACTTAAGCTACTGAATCTGAACATAACGCCAATTGTTTGACTTCCTAAACTCTAGCTGTGATCCTGAGCCCTTGTAGAGCGCCTCTAGAGCTCGCCAGCAGATGCACCTGAGTGTCGTTCTAATCTAATTTTTCACAAGCCTCAAGCATACCGCTGCTTCTAAGTGCCGAAAGAGTAATACATTCTGCGGCATCTCTGTTCAGAAATAGCATCCTTCGCCATGCCGTGTGCCCCTCAGGCAGGCAGGATCACCAGGTTCGCTTCTCTGCAGGAACACGCGGGAGTGAAAGTGTAGGTGCCGTCCGTCTTAATTCTGCCAACTCACGTTGACCAGCTGAGTGCAGCTCATAGAGCTTCCGAAGAGTGATGGAACTGCACGGCCCCACCGGACAAATGACGTTGAAACAACGATGAGTTTACGTTTATTAGACCAAACAATATTCAAGTTGACTCCACTACTAGGGTGGGTGCGTGTTGTAGCATCAGCTCCTTGGCGTCGTGATAATGACGTTCACGTGAGCATTTCATCCCCAATGGAATGTATTTGCTATTTTTGTCTAATTTTAAAATAATCACTCTCGATTTAACTCTTTCCTTTTTCCGATTCATATATTCAGCAAAAGATTCATTCTTATGTTTTCATTATTACATAAAATTCCGATTTATTGTCTATTACAAGAATTTTACAAGAAGGCATTTTACAGCTCCAGGTTGTTTTTAAAATGCATTCACGAGCTAAATTTCAGTGCCGCAAAGTCTCCAACTTTGTATTTAAACAAGTTGTCAGATATGGATAGAATCCGAGAGAGACATATTTTCACCCGGAATTGTGATAGCATTCTTTGTTACTTAGAAAGCCCACCCAGCATGAAACATCACTTCAACCTTTAGGGTGTCAAAATCCAGTTGTGCATTATCAGTTTGCCATCCCTATTACTGGAAGCCATGAACTGCGTGAGTAAACTGCACTCGCTCTGCACGCAGAGTGTGAAGGTCGATATAGACACGTGAGGCGTCGTGAGGCGTATATGAATCCTTTTACTCATTACTTGAGCATAGATGAAAAATGCTTCCCACATCACAAGATTCATGATTAATGGTAGCAATTTTGTGTCCACGTAAGTAAGGGAGTTATAAAAAAGAGATCAGTCAATGAACAAACGAAGAAAAACATTTTCCATGACAACTCATATATGAGTGAATTTCACCCGAAATAAATGTTATCAATGTCATTATTTCCGCTTCATTGCCTCACGGGATTAAACTTCATTTTAACGCAATTCAATTTGAAATTCAAAACAATTTGATATTTAACATAATTCTCAAAACACAATGCACTTAAAAAAACGCTGCATAATACAAAATTCATGTTGTTGCAGACTATTAAATGTAAACTAACATCAATAAACCGGCGCTTCTGAGAATTAATTTTTTTAGATTATTTATAAAGACCACACAGAAAAAACAACCATTCTGTACTTCCTTGCGTTGTTTTTTAATTGGAGAAACTTGCACGTAAAATAATATCGCTTCTTCCGAAATTTCCCGGATTATTTCGAAAGGCATTTTTTGTTTAAGCGAAACTTCTCAACAAAGGCGATCAAAGCTCTTAGAGGCGAACAAGAGATTCCATGAAATAAAAGTGGATCTCGATGAAGGCGATTAAATCTTCGTCTGTGGAAAGATCCCAGTTTCATAGTGCACGACGGAATTACATAGGCGAAATAAACATTCGCTTCTGCAGGTGATTCTTCGGAAACTTTCTCCCTTTGTTTCCGACAAAGAGCTCGTAACTTATAAGCTTAACACAGACAAATGAATATTTATTTGCACAAATAGAATTATTTCTCTTCTACAGAAAATCTTTAATACTGAGCAATATCTTAATTCTACGAGCAGAGCATGATAGTGCACTTTTGACATTTACATCTTGAGGGAAGGAAGCTACGTATATAGTGCTGGTTCTATTGAAGGGCAAATGCTACCAGATTATCGGTGCTAATGCAGTGCTATTATGTGCTCTGAACGGACAGGCAGACAACGGAAGGGAGTGGATCTGGCGAAAAATTTCGACTAAGAGAAGCGGTGACTATCATTACACTCTTCATAACCCAAAAATTATTCAATCTGAAGTACTGCTGCCTGCATTAAGCGCCTTTGGCGGGTGCGATGCGGCAATTGGAGGCCATCCAGCGATCTCCTTGTCGAGAATCGGCTGATAGCGGGAGCTCTTACTTCTGACGGAGGCTGAAGCACCTGGCTGTACTCAGCCGAAAAGAGAAGAGGGAAGGTGCCGGGACGGCGGATGATGAAGGCGGTGCATCAGCATGTCTGTGCGACACGGACTGCACATAATAATATTGCTGAAGCCACTTTAGTGCCGGCGTCGAATCGATCAACGTTTGAGTATAAACTTGTTCTAATCTCATCGTTACTGGAACAAAAAATAATAAAAATCACCGAAATTCAGTCATAATATTCTAATATGCAGTTGTACGTTCCAGAAGTGCTCTCAATGAATTTCAAAAATAACTTAAATGAATGCGAATTTTTAGTACCATGGAAAAATAATTCAATATAAATTCGATGATAATTTAAGCGGATGTTCAGTACACGCATAGCAAGCAGCTACGGCCACTGATACTAACAATGATCCTCATATAATAGTAAACAATTTGTAAATTTAATGGTAGCAGGAATCCTCACAAAAATCCTTGCGAGCAGTGACATGACACTACCACTTTCACCGTTACACATTTTTAACAGTCATTTCGTCAGCGTTGGCGAAAGACGCTTATAATAAATTGCTTTCACTCTGTCGATAATTATATCAGCAAGTTGAATGGCGTAAATTTCAACTTTAGACGAAATTTGTACAAGTAAAAATTTTTTAATAAGCGAATGCAATTTTGAAAGATTTACTTTTAGTATAATTTAATACCCTCTCGCACAAACTGAAGATTTGACCCACAATTGATTGAGTGATCATAAAAATTTGTGTCACATTTTGGTGTAAAAATTTGTTAGAGTCTGTCTATATCACAATCCACCAATTAAGAGCCAGCAGAAATTATGTGGCAAAAATACACTGTTCGTTTTAATATACTCTATAGAAATACCCATAACTTAGAAATAATTAAGCCACTGATTCACTGGAGGAATTCAAATATTTTGTAAGCGTTTCATATATATCCACTCTAATTTCTACGTAGCTGCTCTCAATATTCCTGCTGTGTAAACAGGAAAATCTAGCGCAGGCATTTTGGAAATACAAGTGTTGATCCAGTGAGGTATGGCTTTTAAGACGTTCGCCGTGTCCACAAATAAAATTTCTCCTCTAAGTAAATAGGAAGCACTAAACGTGTTCCCGTTCGAGCCGAGTAACACCACGGTGCTCGGAAAATGATTCTTCATTATTATCCAAGAAGACGTCACCGATTTTTAACACATATATGGACGAGAATTTTCTGCAGTCACTATTGCATGATATAAATTTGAAGAAGTTGATCATCAGCTTGCTATCTAAGTATATTAAACGATACATGCATTTTTTTCAGAAGAACGCAATAGAAAAAGACAGTAATACTGATTTTACACTGAGATGAAAAAATATAGAAATTTTGGCCTTCGGCCGAGTGAGCAGATGATAGTCAAAAGCGTTGCAACGAGCTTTTTGAAATTCAGATAAAATCTTCTACCAGCACGAATGGATGTTTCAATAAAAGAACTTATTGGTTTAACCCTCAGTCAAGATGGTCAGGCCTTGGCCTTAAGTAGACTTGGCGCTAACAACCTTATGTCCTTAGCTCTCTCTCTTCCTCGCTCACTCTTTCATTCATATTAAATCCAGCGACCTGAAGAGTTTTTTTAAATAATGCTCTTTAAAGGTAAAGTTATGATGATTTGCGTAATCATCATTTATAGCAATTCTATATCAGACATAAGACATAATTACATCAAATGATCTGAATTAAGTTCAGACCGTGAGCTGCTTCAAAGCAAACACTATAAACGCGAAGAAAATTTGATTCTGGCACGTGCCTTTTTTGGCACGAGGCTCATGTTTTGCTATACAACAGAGCATACATAAAAGTACGATGATATTAAATATAATCTTTTTATATTACTTTAATTTCTGTAAAAAATGTGTATCTTTGGATTGACTCTAATTTTTTCAAAAGTCAATGTCGTGCTATAAATATTGAGCCTTTGATTCCATGTATCCCACGAATTAACATATTTTAAGAAAATCTAACGCTATGGAAAAAATTCAATAAATACAGTAAACGAGACAGTTCCGAATTCAATGATAAAACAAACATAAAAATGATTACAGTTTTCATGAATGAATTGTGTTACAGTCATCAACAATTGTTTTTTTTTATCAATTGCCCAAGCCTATTAAATTTCTTCTGCACATATTTTAGTGTAAGGAACGACGACATCCACTTTAATGAGCCAGAAAGGCATTTCAACTTATTGAAACACAAAATATAATTACGAATAAGTATGTATCTATAGTCTCAATCAGAATGAAAAGCAGAAATCTCAACACAATTATTCAATCAATCCATTTGCTATCGTATAGGCCTGAAATGCCATTTGTTTGAATATTGCCTCGATGAATAGACAAGATCAATCAATGCCGAACATTGCAATCTTCACCTCGGTGGCAAACCATGAATCTGTTAGGAAAAATTACTATCACTGTATCGACGGAGGTCAGCCCCGAATAGCAACAATTTACGCAGATTCCTCACCAGCCTGACTAGGTTCCGGTCACTGGATCCGGTCTCGGATCATTAAGTACGCCGTAGCGAAAACATTAGTACAGCACATTCGAACCTGCGCGCCCATCGATCACGATGAAAAAAAGCTGTTAATTCTTCACGGTGACTGGAACAAACTTCTGCACGCGGTAGCTGGGGCCGAGCGACCTCTGTTCAGCTCAAACAAGCGAGTCATTGCAGCACTCTTGAGATGCGCTATAAAAGAACGCAAATACATGACGGCCATCGCATTGCGGACTCGCAATCCCTCTCACACAGACATGGTAAGTTTCAAAAACTTGAACATACTTTAATAATTATCTAACATTTGTCAGACTTAATTTGTGCAACTTTACCTACTCTGATTATGGCATAACGTTGCCAAATTAGGCGGCCTGACGAGTGTTAAACCAAAAGTTTTTTCATCAATGTAGATATTAGATCGAAACCACACATTTACCGCCTTGAATTTACTAAGTAGCGCATTTACTTAGTATTTTTATTGATCATTTACTTAGTATTTAGTTAGTAGTGCGATCGACCATATATGCAAAAAATATAACTCAGTACTCACTGCAGTGAGTGACAGAGCGCATTTTCTCGTCGACGAAAACGTGAAGTCACGGACAGACGGACGGACGGACATGACAAGCACAATAGGGCATTTTTTCCATAAACGAGATAAAGCGCTAAAAATGGAAAACTTATTAAAAGGTCTCAATTTGTAAACATTCATTGATACCAAAAATTTTCAACGGATTTTGAATAAATAGAGTTGTATTTCTTAAAGACTCAAGACTGTGCCTTGAAAAAGATGTTGCATGGATTTAAAAGAAAATCGTGCTAAATGGAGGGTTCGAATTCTACTTCGATTCAACCATGTTAAAATGTGATAGCGAGAAAAATAGCTACACCACCTGGCTTCAAGTTTTATCTTCCTAAAAAATTTTAATTGAATAATTTATTCGCAATCGTTCAATTTATTCGTAATTATTTATGCGTAAGCGACGAACACGTTTGAAAAAACGATCTGGGACGCGCTGGGAAAATCCCTCATAGGAACGAAGTTATGCTCAAATGTTTTTATGTTAAAAAAGAAGGTGAACATGGCAATTGGCAATGGATGAACTATGGATGCATTTTGATAGACTTGAATTCTACTTTTCAGGGCCTGACACCGAGACTTGGACTGGTGGTGTTGCTGGCAGTGAACTTGGTGACTGCTGATCACGGTGCAGGTGGTGGCAAAGGTAAATAATTTCAACAAGTCTGGCTTATTACACAACCTTAACTTTTCTAATTGCCTTACATGTAGCTTTAAATGCTACAGCTTCAGGTTAATTAACTAGCCGGATCAAGGAGGGTTAAAACTTACTATGAAATCTCCACTTCAGATGTTTTCGGAATTTTATGAAAGAAAGAGTGGACTGGAGAGTCGAAATTTAATCTTTGTTCGATCAGAACAAGTAAAATTTCGAAACCTATAATTAAAATTGATGTTAATTCGAATTTTTTTCCTATCCGAATGAATTTTAGAAAAAAAGCTTTGGATTCGTCGACAGCCTGATAATTTTTTTCTTTATTAAAAACGGCCTAATTATAAGCAAACTCGTACTTAATTAGGAGCCCAAGTTGATGCCATTATTCCATTATTTATCAATATAATTATAATATTGATTGTACGATTGATCAGTAGATCATTAAACAAGCAATAAGAATGGAACGGAATTATTTTGAAGCAAAAATATAACTATTCGATCGTAAATTTTCACAAGAACCTTGTGAAAACAGGGTTCTCGTAAACAAGCAAGAAAAGGGCAAGTTTAAGCAAAGCAGCCGTAAGATAATTTTTTCCAATTTACAGGTGGAGGAGGGGGAGGGTTTGGGGGAGGTTTTGGCGGTGGAGGCGGTGGATTTGATGGCGGCCACCAGGGTGGTGGCGGATTTGGCGGCGGACATCAGAATGGAGGTGGATTTGGGGGTGGTGGATATGGAGGAGGCGGAGGAGGAGGAGGAGGAGGTTTTGGAGGTGATGAGAGGTTGAAATATTAAAAAATTGATGCTAGACGTTGATAAGAACATTAAACAAATGCTCGCTGATTGCTTCATAACTTATATTTCCACATCCATTCATGCAGTGCGAACCTACTTTCTTCATAAGCAAATTAAATTTATATTTAACTTTTTTATTTCAAGTTAACTCTTAAGCCTGTTTACCGAGAATAACATAAATACTTTGTAAACTATGCTCTTACCTGAGAGTTCGATGATTCTGAGTTTGTGCAGTGTAAATAATTAATAGATTTATGTTAAAATAAATAAAAGTGCTTCCGTCATAACCGAACGCTGAATTCATGAATGATAATTTTTACCTGTAGATGCAATGAAAATGATTTACTAATATCCGCTCTAAACCTACGGACTAATGTATATGCTTCATTGTGTATAATCTTATCAAATCTGCATCCAGTTCTTATATCGCTTTTAACTTGATGAATTGAATCGTTCGTTTCCCCCATGTTTATATAATTTCACCTCTTGCAGGTGGATTTGGTGGTGGACATGATGGAGGAGGCGGAAGTTTTGGGGGTGGTCATGGTGGAGGTGCAAGCTTAGGTGGTGGTGGATATGGCGGTGGTGGACCCATTGGTGGAGGTGGTGGTGGGGTCATTGGTGGTGGTGGTGATGGATATGGAGGCGGTGGGATTATTGGAGGTGGTGGAAAAGGTGGAATTGGAGGTGGATTCGGTGGTGGGCATGAGGGAGGTGGTGGTGGATATGGTGGTGGTGGTGGGACCATAGGTGGAGGTGGATTTGGTGGTGGGAAAGGAGGTGGTGGACATGGGGGAAGTGGTGGTGGATATGGTGGTGGTGGTGGAGCCATAGGTGGAGGTGGATTTGGTGCTGTCTCTTATACACATCTAGATGTGTATAAGAGACAGCTTTACCATACTGCACAACATACTTCGACATACTGCACAACATACTTTGCCATACTGCACAACATACTTTGCCATGCTGCACAATATATTTCGCCATTCTGCACTTGTAGGCACTAAGCACACAGTCGTATCGTACGATTCTTATCGTAACACAAATTCTTGCACGATTTTATGTTGAACGTTGCCTATTATTAAATTTTACTGATATCCATCATTGCTTACATGCAGATTCATATTTTGCCTACATATGAACAGTATACATCATCATAGCACGATCAATATCAAGCATGAAAATGTTCACCGCCACATGAAGCAGACTGCTAGGTCCGATGAGGTGTAATGCACTATTGGCTCATATACCACTTAATATTTTAACCTAGATACGCATTCAGCAGAAGGAAGTTTTCCACATTTTAAATCGTGTTTTGTTGCACAGAAACGAAAAGCGGCTCCCGAGTTAACCTTGAAGGGGCTGAGCGACTTACTAATGTGTATCGCTTGACCCTGTGAGCTGATGACCTCACGAACAGACTTGTATATAAGCAGCGAATTGTGGCCACACACTCACACTCCACTCAGGTACTGCTTCAGCCACTCCAATATGGTAAAGAAACAAGTTAAATAAATTAATTATTAAGAATAAGATTTTTAATAATTAATTAAACAATAATTGGAATAATGATATTTTTTATTTTGTTAAGTTAACAGTTATATAATTTTATTTAAAAGTTCGAAGTTCATCTGACTATTCAAACAGGAGGACGAGGTGCAATAATGTATAATGCAAATATATTCATACGATTTAGTTATAGTTAATTCTAGGAATTGCCATGTAAAGATAATCCTTGAAATTTTAGAATCGCTTCATCCTGAATTCAGTTAATAGTTTTATTCCGAAGTTCAGTAAAGAAACTCCCGTTTCGTTAAGCATATAACAAAAAAATTCAAATTTAATTATCGTTAATTTAGAAGCATTTACTATTTTGTTTTTAATTACATTTTTAATCTTCAACATTAAAACTGCCTTCAAATCAAACTCTCACATTTTGTCTCATGAGACCACTATAATATTTATTAAATCCTGGTAATGTCCCAACGCGATAAGCGTCGTGGATATGAGCCCGAACAGGCTCTATATGAAGGGTGATTCACGGAAACTTCCTGATTTGAAAGCTCAATAAAAAAAGAACTAGTAAAAATATCATTACAATATAAATTTTACTGAAAAATAAATTACCTGAATGTTTGTATCACTTAGTTCTTAATATGATGTATTTACGGTGCCAGACTCTGACATATACGAAGCAGATGTATAAGTTTCTTCAGAAATGCACAATCAATTTCTCCACTCAAATTGAAAAAATTTTGGGATTGAATTCAAGAAATTTTTCAATCTCCAATCTGTTAGCTGATAACAGAATTTAAAAGATAAAAAATGTTATACATGTAAAGATTAATTTTTGAACATTTTTTCCCAGCGTTTCTTCGTCGTCGCTTCGTTCGCTGTGTCAGCGCTGGTCGCCATCGCTAGCGCAGGTGAGCCGATAATGTGTTATTAATATAAGTCATTTCATGTATTAATGCAAAATTTATTTAAAATTAATTCGTTTTAATCAAAATCTTTTACTCGTAATTCCCCTTGATTTCAAACTGATTCTAGAAACAATAAACAAGAGTTGTTCAAGAATCAATAGGACATAGATATTGAATTCTCTAATAAATGATCAAAATGGAATAATTTCATAGAGATAGAACTGAATCACCGTAGAAGTAAAGCATCAAGCAGTGACAAGTTCAACGCGTAAACGAACGTCCAGAAATCTCTAGTCCTCACAGCAAGATTATGTTTAGCTTAGCTCATTTTTCTCAAAAATTGGAAACGCACGCAACTGTAGATCAGGCGTACTTTTATTTTAGAAAATATGTTTCATAGTTGAAAAGTTTTAACACCCGTTATGTTCCGGCGTTAGTTTGTACTTCGGTAACATAGGGTTTCGGTAACGTTTGACTTGGTCAAGCGTAATTGAGAGGCGATCGAGTCGACATACTGATTAGGACATTCGGCATTCGTACTAAAAGAGAATACTACGAGAAATATAATTAGTCTTTTCATAAAAATTGCTAAATTTGCTGCTAGAGTTGCTAACTGTCCGAGGATAAATTTAATATCAACATTTTATTTTCTTGGCGCAGAAATATTAATTTGAATATTCTGTATCGCAAAGGCAAAAAAGTCACCCTGAGCCAAAATGCAACGCGTATTTATTGGAGGTTCGAAATACTTTTCAGATGGTCACGGAGGTGGATTTGGCGGTGGTGGATTCGGTGGAGGTGGATTCGGTGGAGGTGGATTCGGTGGTGGTGGATTCGGTGGAGGTGGATTCGGTGGCGGCGGATATGGTGGCCGCGGAGCGACTGGCTTCAGCAGCGGTGGTTTAGGTTTCGGCGGAGGCAAAGGTGGATTTGGAGGTGGTTTTGGTGGTGGAAAGGGAGGCTTTGGAGGAGGCCATGGCGGTTTTGGAGGAGGTGGATTTGGTGGTGGAAAAGGAGGCTTCGGCGGAGGCCATGGTGGATTTGGTGGTGGCAGCTTCGGAGGAGGAAAGGGAGGATTCGGTGGTGGATTTGGCAACGGTGGATTCGGTGGTGGTGGATTTGGAGGTGGCAAAGGTGGTTTCGGCGGAGGTCATGGTGGATTCGGAGGTGGCCACGGAGGATTCGGCGGCGGAAAGGGAGGATTTGGCGGTGGTTTCAGCAGCGGTGGATTCGGCGGCGGTGGATTTGGAGGCGGCCACGGTGGATTTGGCGGTAAGTGGATATAATTTGAGAATTTAATTCAGAATTATCCATTTATTTCGATTGTTTATTCAAATAAACTTGATGCCAACACCACTGAACGTCGAAAGGGAAATTTTGTAGACACAATGAGAGGTCGGAAATAAAAGTCTGCCCTTAACGTATACGAAACGTTCTTCTTACTTGTTTGAGGGGACACGGTGTTGAGGATGTGGTAAAACTATTTCTAATGACATCTTAATAGAAAAAAATATGAAATCGCGCATGATTGCTTCCAAAACAGAGAAATTGTTAAGCACTAAACATTGTATGCAACAACTTGTCTCGCTTAAACAATGGCAGTGAGTTCCGGATATTTTTCCACGAAAAGAATAGCTGAAAGAAAACGTGGTTTCAGCAGATACTTATTTGATCAATAAAATAAACCATTTTGGAAAAGATTATAAATTATGAAGAAGTTTTTACTGCCCATGGAGGTTACTGACCATAGCTACTAGATGAAGTAACCAATCTCCAATGGCTGTACATTTTAGATTTTTCCGTTAGTGGTTAACTTAATTAGACTGCTAATATTTCATAATTTTTAGCCAATAATTCATTATCAAAATACTTGTTAACAGATGTCAAAAATTAACAAAATAATAAATGCATGATATTTTTTAAAAATTTATTTGTGAACAGTCTGACATTCCTCCAACGTTGAAGTATCTGCAACAATATTTCAATCTCTCATTTGAAATTCACTGCTTGTATAAACTCTATTGGCGAAATGAGAATATAATCAGCAAGACTTTGCATAAAAGAGTACATAAACGAATTTCTGAAGGAATTAAATTTTGAAGTCATGAGACCGTGACCAGAAATCACGCGACTAATTGACTGTGAAGACGGCCAAGAAATGACCGTTGCCACGGCGGCGCATGTAATATGTTGTGGCTTTTTAGCCAACAAAGACGAAGCTGTCGAATTGCATTTTTTTAATGAATTTTGATACAATATTATGTTGAAATTAAGAAAATGTATGGAATAACTCCAAATGGAAGATGGAAATCACAAGGAATTACGGTGCAGAGTAAATTGTTAGTATTATGCATGACGAAATTTATAAACTCTTATTAAGCCAGCAGTTGGCGATAGATTGAGTTATCAGCAAAAATAAAATTATGGATTTAAAACAATTTATATTGAAAAATTTTGAACATATCTCACATTTTAGAATGTTGTTAAAAATTATCTATAATATATGCATGATCTAACTTCTAAAGGTAACTGAGAAACAACTATTCATGTACGATAGAGCTCTTTAATAGATAATATATTAAAATAAGTACATTTTTATTCATTATGATATCATACATAATAAGAGCATGTATGAAAAACTAGACTAGCCTGCGCTTAATTAACAAAAATTTATAATTAGAATATTAATTCATGACCGACTTATTTCATACAATTATTTTCCTATCTTCCTCAGGTGGCTATGGCAAGTAACCTTGCAAACGAACGAACGAACGAACGATTCGGCCTGTGATCTTTATTTCTAATCAACGAAAGAAAATGAACTTGTAAAACTATTTAAATAAAAAATACTCACATTTGACTTTTTACCCCAAAAGACAACTAATTTGTTTGACTTCGTAACGTGATGCTCGAATCTACCAGTAAATTAGATGCACAGTCCTTTTAATTAGAACCTAATTCATTAGTTATCATAGTTGTACAAAATGTACTTCCTGAAAAAATCTTTGTGAATGTCAAACATATAAAGCATGGTCGAATTCAATCCCTGTCAAGCACTTCACAAAACGGATCGACAGTAACGGTCTTCAACACGCAGTATAAACGTGTAGATATCGAATCAATATAAGATGACAGAAATTGTTTATTTACACAGGTTCAACGATTAATTTCGTAAAACTTATAGGAAGAACGGACAAGAAAATTCTAAATAAAATTAATCAATTTTTCTATCGAAATAATTGCACGAGCTTGTCATAATTTAGATATCACAATCGTGTTTTTTTTTCATTTAAAGTTCTTAGTGTGAAGTCAAAATTTATCGTTGTCATGATATTACACAAGATAAACATGAGCATTACATAACGGCTCGTACCTGAGGCTAAAACCAACAGCATGCAGGGAGCATGGAGATATCCATGTTTGGAACGGTGGCCTTATGAAGGTCTTGCAAGCTGTTAAATCTTCTCGCGGATTTATTAAGAACTCCAGTGAAGCAGTGGCCACGGTGCACCCATTATATGAAATATTCTTATAGAGCGGTCCATAACCTCAAACTTTAGAATGAGGATCGTCCAACAAACATGTTCAATAAATAGCACGGATTATTGAAACTGAACAAATGGAAGCGGTAATAATTGAAAGACAATTTTGAATATTTAAAAACATTAAAGAAGAAACACAATATGAAACTTGAAATAATTTAAATCATTAATAACTTATTATGAAATTAATACTATAATATATTAATTAATAACAAAATAACTTATGAAATTAAAAGATTTTCCATTATTTAATAGCTTTATGAACCCGAGGCAGCAGCGCTCCGCGAAGGTGGAATCTCGCCTCACAAATGAGAAATGACACTCAATGACTAAGCGAAGTTACGCAAAAGAAGTCTCAAAAATTATCCGAGAAAAAACCAAGAAAATTCCCCAGCGCTTTCATTTTTCACCCCTTCTCCAATTAAACTTTCCTTAATAAACCATTGATTAGAATTGCCCGCTAACCCAAATATATCTTAAGGATCAAATAAAACCCTTTGAGTTTCTATTATGTTGTATCAGATGAAGAAAATGAAGAAATTAGCGAGGGTCAGATTGTTGCGTCCACGCTATTTATTATTTATTCTAACGGCTGTGTTTATCGCGATTTTGAAGAGTTAAGAAATCTGGGGCTAATGCAGCACTAGTTCGTGAACGCTTATAAATTTTTTTGCCGCGCAGTTGAACCTTCACTTGTTAAACAGTTAATCTGATAAATGCAGGGAAAATTCTAGACTATTTCAAAAAGTTCAGCTACATTACTTTGCCATTTCCACGTGAGAGAGAAATATATTGAGCATACATACTAAGTTGACTTTATTAAGCTGAGCATAACCATGGACGTATCTATAATAAAGCAGCTTGCATCATTGCCCTCATCTGTGACCAGCCAAAGTGTGAATGACTTTGCAAATAAAGCAATCGTTAAGTCCATTGCCCTCTAGACTCCAGTCTGGCATTGCACACTCCCTTCAATCACTGCTGACATTGCATCATTTTTGTATAGCTTCTAGTCGAGTGTCTCAAATGTTTCAGAAATACAGCGAGATTTATGCAGGAGTAAATGAATAGGGAGACTGATAACTAAATTACATCTCTAGATATCAAGACACTACAACTGCTTCCATTACAAATTATCTTTGAAAATTATGAAAACCTCAAGTTCTAGAGAGAGCGCTTTGGAGCTCAACCAGCTCTATATTCTTAAGCTCATAACTACATAACAACACTCCCACTGTTTCCCATTGTCGATTGTACTGCTATACTGGGTATGTGGGTATGTACGCAACATGACGTTAGTTAGCGTGTTCTTTGTGGCTATAAATGCTTATCAATCACTATGGGTACGTAGAGTGGGAAGCTGTTATCAATTAAAACAACCGAAAGTTAATAGCATAGTAGTTTAATTTTTCGTCCATTTGCCAATAGTTTGCTATAAATCGATACGGCAACGTTCATCATAGCAGAGATTACGCAACCCTGTTATTGTTCGGTTCACAATTAGTTGGTTGTCGATAACATCTTGCACTATTTCTTCGGTAGTGAGGGAAAAAATTTTACCCACGAGCATTAAAACGCATGATTCTTTCCAAGTTTTCCAAGCGTGCTCTTGGAAAACTTAGAATCTCAAGTTACAGAAACAGGCATTGAAAGTAAATAACGTATAAATTCAATTAAACCTCCCTTTCTTTCACTTCAAAGGAAGAAGGGGGGTGATTTTTTTTTATCACACTGGCGTGCTCGGCCGGAGCTGCCACGGATCCGGGACGTACCCGACACGTACGAACCGCTCAGTGGCCGCCAGAGTCTGGACCAGACTCTCGTAGCTGTCTGACTTGGGATCGGGATGCTGACCAAAAAGCAGAAAAAGAGAAGCTGATTTACGTGCTCCCCGAGTCCTAGGCTTTCCCTATTATATATTGTTAGGGTGGTAGGCGAGTACTCACGATTCAAGTACAAGTGCTGAAATGTGAGTACTCACAAATTATGTACGAGCGCTAAAAGTCGAGTACTCACAATTCAAGCACAAGAGCTAACAGGGTTGCTCGTTGCTCATCAGCGGAGTCTGCACAAATCAAAATTTGCTATTAGAGCAATGTAATATGAATTATCAAAAAGAATCTGGCGATACGAGTTTTCATCAAACTTTAATAGGAACACGTGGTTGGAATAGCCACGATGTCACGAAAAAATAGGGCCAATCTAGAATGATGTGGCAAACGACGTACGAACTGCATTTTTATATTAACGTGGTTTAGTATCATTACAGTGCAAGGTATTTTTGACATTTATTAGAAATTATAGTCGAACAATAAACAGTTTTCATTATCAAAGTAGGAGGTAATTTTTAAAATAATTTGCCAGCTATAAACTTCAGAAATGATGAAATAATATTAGATGTATAAGAAAAAAACGTTAAATGAACGCGCCTGTTCACAACGAAAATGAGAAATATTGAGACATAAATAGTAAGTCACAATATAAATTTTAGAATACATAATGAAAAATTGGCATATTATATATTATAATGATTAACTACAATTTCAACATTTTTTCAATCATCAGGAATATAAGTTGAACCTAACTTTCGTTTGGAAACATATTCGAAGCACAAATACAGTTCACGGTCATTCGTGATTGTTGGAAACTCGCGTATTACTTCACGCAAAAACAGAATAACTACCAAGACATTCGATCGCTCTTAGAGAGAAGATTAACGACTCACTTCTTTGTCGTCGGTAAGTCCGTTCACGGATGAATAAGATCGTGAAAAACTAACGGGCGCTCACGGTCACGGCGGTCGCTGTTGCTGCCGACGCTGTCACTCCTAACGGCGACGGCATGAGGTGGCCGGCGCTCGTCGCGCGTATGCTTCCGCACTACAATCGTGGCGACTGAATTCGGCGCCGCGCTTGGCGGGATTTCCGTTAATCAAAAGCGGAATACTATAACGGGAATCATATGTAATAATAAATGAATATATAATCATATATTTAAATCATGAAATATAAGCACATGATGAGATAAGCGTAGTTTTGGTCGATTTAGTGTCGGTTTTCGAACGAATTTTTTTTTTTTTTTTGCTTTCAAGAAACAAAGTTTGATGTCAAAGATAGTTAAGATGAGTTTTCAAGACAAAAACTAAAAAATTTCAAAGAAAAACAGAAAACACATCGTAAGATCTATGTAAAATACACAATTATATCGTCAAGAAAATTCTTCTCCCAACACGTCTATGTCGCACAGTCACACGTGCCAAAATTTTGCCCATGCTGAACCCAACGCATTTGGCATCAACATTTGTAATCCGTGATACAGGGAACACTTCATCCAAAATACGTCGAACGGAATCTTACATGAAGGTCTTGACTCCCTGTGTCTGCCACAGTTCTCTTTAGATTATTTAAATGATAATTTAAAATATATTTAAGAACATATGCTTGAGCAAGCAGTCATTCAATAATCTTTTCGTCATAATTCCAGGAACGAAAAAAATAAAAACGATCAGCTCAAAAAGGCATGGAAATATCTGCGAGCGCCTAAGCTCCAGGAATTGTGTTCAATTATTATCAGGATTCTAAGAATCTCAGTCGTATTGGTAAGCTACATGAGTAAAATTCAATCAAAAACTTCAGTGAAATCGAGTAGCGCAAGACTTTATATTACAGACAACACAGGATTTTTTTCTATGTTCGACAGACTTCAATATTTCACACCAAGATTCAATGTTGAATTTAAGAAGCACATCATTTTAGAAATTGTTCTTCTCAGTCAGTTGGTTGCGCCACTGTTAATATCAGTACCAATCGAAGTAGAAGAGATTTATACGACGTTTTCCTACACGAGCGATAATGTATTAATTCTGCCTAATTAGTTATGCCAACACTGGTATTTATACGTCTTGATATATTCTCAATTCCAAGTAAATTCTAAAGAGTTTTTTTTACCAAATTAAGAACCTAGCTACTAGGTGCTGCGCTATCTAAAAGACAAGTATAAAATAACGAGAACCAACCAACGAGAAAGTCCAACCTACCAGCAAAAGCAACACATCAATCCGCACCGATAGTTCAATGTCAGGCTGGAGTGCAGTGAGGCACAGCAAGTTAGGCGCCGTCCGTATAAATGAAAACTTCTCAGTTCGACCGATGAAGTATCATTTTGCCAGCATAGGTTTTCGCTTTCGCGCTATTGGTGGATTGGTTTTAAAGTGACAATAAATATACAGACCGTAAATGTATAATTGAAGTGTAAAAATCACAATTCTAATTGTACTGTGTCCTTAGAAGTACATAGCAATCTTACAGTGGAGTAAGGTTATTGTTCGCGGTCGTAATAAAGTGCTGCACTTCTAAATTTATTTATAACGGAGGCATTTTCCAATTACAAAGAGATGGACGAGTTTAAGTTTAAAGGATTATCTTTCAACGGACAAGGAAGCGTGCAATTAAATGACTCACGCATAGCAAGGTCACACTGTGGTCCACTGAAATGCGTGGAGCTCATTCAATATAAAATGCATACTGTATTATCTGTGCAAAGAAGAATTGTTCAACTTATTCGTAACGCTTACGAGCTAGAAAATAAAACTAAACAATCTACTTCGTATTTTAAAGCTCAGGTAAGCCATGCTAACGTCGCAGGAGTAATCCGGACGCATCAATTTTTTGAGGACCAAGCAGTTGACGGCTGGACGGCTCAAGGTGACGCCTTCTTCACTGCCCTTCGTTAATTAACAGCAAGAAACGAAACAAGAATCTTTGCTGCTCGTGATTTCCCCATGTCACCTCGAATTTGTAGTATTCACTCCATAATAAAATATTATACGTTTATTATAACATGGGGGTGCTTGTAATTGAGAACACGTGAGCATGAACTACTCAGACACCCTTGCTTGGATACTCAGATCCTAACAGAAGTAGAAGCAAAATATTGGAATAATAAAAAATTTAAACATATTTGTTTAAATGCGTGAGCGTAAAAATGGTATTGGTACACAAGCATGAAAGTTGACATTTCTATCCCAAAAACAACAAACATTGGCTTCCGGAATTGAATTTTTGCTTTCAAAATGCATTACTAGTTGAGAGCACAAAAACTGCACTTTATAATATCTCGATTAACGATATTGACTGAAATGCAAATGAGCAAATTTGGATTTTGTAGAAAAGAACGTAACCGAAATGATGTTCTTGTCGACCTGATGCATGGTACGATGAAATAATATCTTGAAATTCACTATTAAAAATCGTCATGTTATTATTTGAAAACAATTCTCTTATATGATAGTTAAATTGACAAACTTAAGACTTTTACATAATATAAAATTAAGCGCATTTTAATTTGCAAGTATGTATGGTGATGGAATAACAGCATACGCATAGATAATATGATAGTATCCGGCGTTGGTGTCGCTTCTGCATGTATACTCACTTTACCTCACTCGCCTCGTAATGAGTAATAATCATTAAAATATTTAAATATTTATTTAAAATATTAACTGGTAATTCATTTATATACCAAAAAAATCTCATATCAGTAAATTTTTTTGTTGTAGAATTCATCTCCGAATCATGAACGAAAAATATTGATGAATATCTTGAGGCCTAATCGTTAATAATCATCAGAGGATCTCCCCAAAAAAAAAAAAAAAATTCAGACCACCATCAAGTGGGGAAATTCAGACGAGGCGTCGGAAAAAGTTAACTGAAATATTTCCTTTCAGAAAATTTGACGGAGTTCGTCCTTTCTCGACCAGCGGTCACGCTGCGTCATACGTTGCGCAAGACCTTCCTAAGTAGCAAATGTTAGATGATTTACGCGCGGAGAAGTTCATGACAGACGAATTACATTGACGGATGGTGTAACTGAAATACGAATAAAATATTAAAGCATACTGACTGAAGAAAATCACCAAGTAAGTCGGTTCACAGATGGACTGATTTAGGTCACGATTATGAAGAACATCCCACAGCCAACCGGAGTTACAGTTCCACGGGATTAATTTACATTAATATTGAAGAACTAATCAGAAATTAAACAATCGATCCTCTTGATCAGACCAGACTGCCAGTGGGCAAATTAGTTCCAATTGGGGTGTACGATGTGGGGTTCATTTTTTAGGTATTAGGACACACAATAGAGTGTTAGTTACCAAGGAAAATTTCCGCTGACATCAAATTTTAACAAATAACCACCTAACTAATTAAGTTAGAGCGTCTAGGTCTCTGATCGGAAAATTGGCATGAGCGAAGAAAGCGTTCCATGGGAGATTATTTGACAAAATTTACAATAAGAAAATTTAATTAATGGAACGAGATTTTAAAATTTTTTCAATGAATATTTAATGGATATTAAATGAAACCAATTAAAAACCCATGCATATGATGCAAATAGGTTTTATTTAATCCAACAAGAAAGACACGTGATTGACGAAATGAGTCAGCGGACAACTTTCCAATTTGACAGGATGAAAGTGTTTTACATAGAACCAATTTAAAAAATAGAAAAGCTTCCCCCATATGTATAATAAAGCAAGCCTTGGGTTGCGCTACACACATGACTTGATCGATGGTCTTTATAGGAGCAGTCTTATGCAACCGCCTCGCTAAACCATTTCTTTTGAAGCCGCGGGTTCTTGAAATCGATTAGGCAACGAAGGTCACATCACAACATAATTCTCTCGGCCAGGATCAACTTATAGCGAAGCTTCCTTGATTTGCGGCGTCATGGAGTCATTGTTCTGACGAGTATATAAAGAGCAAGCAAGCTCACAGCAGGCACTCGCAAGCACAACTCCACATCGACTTCATCATGGTGAGCAATCCTCTCAAGCAGGAGTACTTAGTAAGAAATACATAAATATTTACAAACTTTTTCTTATAAATAATAATTGAAAAGCTCAAAGGGATAAGAATATTGCCTTTTTGAGCACATATACTCATAAATAAAAATTCTTGTGACATTTTTTTAATATGAAACCTCAGGGTTTTCAATATAGTAAGTTAAGTGGAAAGCATCGTAAATTTGAATGAATGTTCGGGTTCATATTTGAGGGTATTTTTGAAATCTGTTAAATACAAACTATGAAAAATTTGATTTCAACTAACATTAAATGTAATATTGCGGAACAGGAACAAATATATATCATAATATATGCATTCTGTAATGAAAAAACCTGAGGCGCATACATGGCGAATATAGTATAAGAAGTATCATGTAACCGAGTTCTGTATAACACATTAACGTGAGCGCGTTAGTTTCTAAAATACGTACGTATGCGCATCGGCATCAGTCTCTAGTTTTCAAGCACAAATGCATGTGAGCATTGATATATTATATTACTTCCTAACACCCATACATGTGTATATTAGGATACAAGTTTCTTACATCAACACGTGTGCGTATCTGTTTTTCACTGTGCCCATCGGTATCTCGACAGAACGCATTCTTGGGCGTAGGGCTTCTGCTGGTGGTGGCGACCACGCTGGTGGCCGCCGGTGGTGGTAAGTCAACCCATAATTAAGCCCAGGTAGGTTAATAAAAATTTTGAGAGTATCGCGAAAAGAAGGAAATGTAATTTTTTATAATAAAGGGTTAGTAAGATAATTTCTCAACCCAAACATAGTAAAAAGGCATTTCTATGTATGTAGCAACTTTATGACTTTCGTGATTTGAATGAGATTTATTTCAAACCTCATTTTCAAATTTAGCGAAGATTTTTTCAGTTAGGTAGATAAGATGTCAACAGTCGCCTTTCCAAAATAATATTTAAAAAATTTATTACTGTCATCATCCATCTTTGAATCCCTGAAATGATTATGAACAAATCCTTGAACAGGTGGATACGGCGGCGGTGGGCATGGTGGAGGTGGCTTTGGTGGTGGTCATGGCGGTGGTGGCTTTGGTGGTGGGAAAGGATTTGGAGGAGGTGGATTCGGCGGGGGAGGAAAAGGTGGATTCGGCGGGGGAGGAAAAGGTGGATTCGGTGGGGGAGGAAAAGGTGGATTCGGTGGTGGTCATGGCGGTGGTGGTTACGGCGGCGGAGGTGGTGGTTTCGGCGGTGGAAAAGGATTTGGAGGCGGCGGAGGACACGGAGGTGGATTCGGTGGTGGTGGATTTGGCAAAGGCGGCGGTGGTCATGGTGGTGGATTCAGCGGAGGCAAGGGAGGATTTGGAGGTGGAGGATTCGGTGGTGGCGGCGGCGGCTTTGGCAAAGGCCATGGCGGTGGTGGATTCGGTGGCGGCCATGGTGGCGGTGAGTACAGTACATGCGATTAAATATTTTATTATAATACTTCAAATTCCCAAAGCTTCCAGTGCTCTTTCTTGCAAAATATTAAAATAAGAAAAGTTCGAACTTTTACCTTCACCAAGAAATTCAGAGTTATTGGTGAAGGCGTTTTCAAATGAGCATTACATTCATTCATATGATAGGAAATTGAAGATAATGTAAAATTAATTTCACACAGAGAATACTTAGTTTATTCTTTTTAATTTTTATTTTGTGAGAGCGTCAACTGACAAAAACGTATCATTCAAATTTTTATACGAGATAAATGTTGTAATTCATTCGCGCTCAATATATCATTTTAGCTGTAATTAATCTAATGAGAAGGTGGCTTAGAACTGACAAAATTCAATTACCTAAATTATAAAATTCTGAAGACTATTTCTTGTTCGTTTATTTTACAGGCGGTTACGGCAAGTAATTGCATCTTGCGCGCCAACAAGGACATCCCACGCAAATCGGATGAACTCGTTAAGAAAGATCATGATATCACCAAGGTTTCATGGCTAATACGAATACAAGTACAGAATGCACAGTAAAACCGACCTTCGCGATAACTTTACTCTAAAAGTTTTTCATTACATCACATCTGAGATAACCGAGTCTGTTGGGGAAAATTTGACGCGAAAATGCCAATTTTTTAGCTGCAACTTTGGATAAGTTTCATGTTCGGCGTAAAAAGTCAAATTTGAGTCAACGGATGATGTAGAAATCTGCAATAAAACCTTGTAGTGAATTAATGAATCTTTGGTGAATGTGATGTCTTGTACTTCCAATACACCACAATAATTTACGAGTTCAGAGCTTTAGGGAGAAAACTCGGCACAACACGACTTCTTGTGATACTTATTAATAATGAAATAAACTTTATGTTTTTAATCTCGTATTTTAAAAAACCCTTGTGTAATGACATTGTCTGCTACTCCGGAGCCCGGTAATATTAACGAGCGGACACGAATTGAAATACAAAATTAAAATTATTTGTAAATTTAGGAACTTCCTAGATGATGAACGCAAAGGTACAAGTTAAGGCGCAGCTGTGGGTCACAAATTTAAATATTAAACAAGCCTCGAAACAGACACCACTCAGTATGCAACAACTACAATCAGCCGTGGAGCTAAAAGCCGACGACTACGCTGAAAGACCGTAAAGCCCCGTCCACACGTTCAAACTTAACGTCAGTCTTGCATGCCATGCCAGGTTTAGGTTTGACCGACAAGACGCAGCGTGTGGACGCTCAAAGTTTGACGTCTTGCATGACAGGTGGGCGGAGTTTGAGGTTTGACAAAGCTGGAAAAGACGGACGGGTGAGACCTTTGGGTTCATGCAAGACTGACGATAAGTTTGAGCGTGTGGACGGGCAACCGACTAATTGGTCAAACTTTTACTCTATCTCAGTCTATATTGATGTTGAGAGCTATGACATTGTTCCTCGCTAGCTCTAGTTTCTCATATCTCAAGATATCCGACACAGGTTTCACGATTTCTTTTGGCGAGTTCATTGAATTATATCGTAGTTTTCATTGTTCGTGGTAAATTCAATCAAAACGCTAGAGTGAAAAGAACAAGAGAGCACTGGCCTATGCGGCATTGATTGCTAAGTGCAAAGAAGTTGACCCTACAGTAAACAAAGACTTTGTAACGAAGAAAATAAACTCGTTATCGAAAAAAATGTGTTAAAATGAAGTCGTCAATGCTCTCTGGTGCTGGTAAGATGCTGTGTATCAACCCTCGTTGTGGTATTTTTTCAACCATTTTCGGGACCACCGCGTACGTTTGCACCGCTTTTTGGTGGCCCAAACTGCGATCACTGCAGCGAGCAGCACTAGCTCCTCCATTGCTGCGAGCGCACAAGACTGAAGGACAGTTTGAACGTGTGGACGCTCGTCAGTCTTCCGTCTTGTCGGTCAAACTTTAGCATGATATGCAAAACTGACTATAAGTTTGAGCGTGTAGATGGGGCTTAAGTCAGGTCAGTGACACGCTGCTTTAAGCTGATAGCGCCGTAAGTACCTAAACAGCCATTAGTGAAGCATGCACGCTCACAAGCACAGTTCTGCATCCGGTCTCGTCTACTACAGCCTAGTCTTTCTGGCCTATTCTACACACGCTTGCCCGACTGACAGCTTCTTGCAGCTAGTGATTGACTCTACCTGCTCGTTTGCCCTGTCACTCCATAACCTGTAGCCAGAGCTGGGCAGCGCTACTTTGAAATGTAGTGGCCGCTACCGCTACATGCTCTAAATGTAGCGGGCGCTACCGCTCCGCTACACCCACTAGTAGATTGTAGCGAGCGCTACCGCTACCGCTACATTAAAATGTAGCGCCGCTACATTAAAATGTAGCGCCGCTACATTAGCCGCTACAATGGCCAAAATTATTGGAAATCTCTAAATATTCATTGTTCTGCTATTGGGATTTACTCATAAACATTTAATGATAATAAAACACTTTCAAAACATATCAATGCAACTTTATTGCAATTAACCTAACCGAACTAGTACGGGTTAGATACAGTAAATAAAAGTTACAGTTATTTTCTTGTTTTACCTTCCCTACATGGATGTCTACTTTAATCTACCAATTTCAAAAATTATCCACATATACATATAAAAATCAGTATTTTATTTGTTTATATAGAAGAGAATAGTAGTGTCGGCACTGAATAAATGGGCCCATGACCTGTTGCCGATTCTTGAATTTTTCGATACACAAGGGATCCGGCCTTTGGAACCCGATCTTTCCATAATTGACGATTGAATGAGATAGCTGCTGGACTTATTGCCTGGTCCGTAATTTGCTATGCATTTTAAGACTGAACATATGCTCCTGCATAGCAGCATAGCTTCGTCTAGTCTGTTCTTGAAGGCGTTCATACTCGGAGCGTCAACGATGCGATCAGGGAGGCTGTTCCACATGTCGGTGACTCGAAGCGAGAAGAAATGTTGTCGCATGGATGTGTTACAACGCAGTTTTTTAGTTTATAGCCGTGGCCCCTGGTGTTGGTTCTTGTTTCAAATTCTAGTAATCCTTCTGGGACCTTGTACAAGCCATGAGTATACTTGTATGCTTCAATGAGTTCCCCACGCAGACGTCGATAACTGAGGCTTGGAAGTTTCATAATCTTTAATCTTTCCTCATATGACTTGCCTTTCAAGCCCGGAATTATCCTTGTTGCACGTCTTTGAACCCTCTCTATTAAATTTTTGTCCTTTTCAAGTTTCGGTGACCACACGTTTCAAAACTCTGGGTTCGGGCGCACGACAGCAACAAACAACTGCTTCATCGCTTCTGCATCTAGGAACTCGATAGAGTGTCTGATCAGTCCACGCCGTTTATTGGCTTATTAACTTGACCTTCAATATGCTTAGAAAATTCTAACTCATTGCCGATATTAACTCCAAAATCTTTTTCCATTGTCGACTTCGACATCATCACTGTCGTTGTAACCGTGTCTTCTCATACAGTAATCTTGCTGTTCATTATTCTTGCCGAGGTGGATTACTTTACATTAATCAGCGTTAAAACGCAGCTGCCACTTATCAGCCCCGTCAACCAGCCTGTCAAGATCACCTTGTAACTGTACTTTTTGCGACGTATTATTCAGTGTATTATAAATTTTTGTGTCGTCAGCATACATCGAGCACACGCTAGACACAGCTTCTGGCAGATCGTTTATAAACGCAACGAATAAAACAGGCCCGAGAACGCTTCCTTGCAGCACGCCGCTGCGGGGACGCCTTCCGGAGACCACCACTGCTGTGCTTGGAATGGACTATCATGATCCCTTCCCTGAAGAACGTAGCCTACAACACCTATTGACTGTAACATTATCAGCCGCACGCCACCAGACAGATCACATCCATTGAAATAGATCAATCAGACCCAGGAAAATTGCCTGACGTCGTATGGCCCAGCGTCGTCTGCCAATACGCGAAAAAATTTTACACCACCCGGACGGAGCGCGCCGGAGCCGTTCGTATCTGTCCCGTGTGTCGAATCTACGGTCGAACGGAAACGCGTCGTACGACGATAAATTTTGGAACAGAACTATGCTATCTGAAACTTAACCTCAGATGCTGTGAGCTAAAAGTTACGTAATTTAGCGAAGCTGTGGAATCGCTCGTCGAAGGACGATAGATTTTGGAACAGAACTATGCTTTCTGAAACCTAACCCCAATGTTGTGAGCTAAAAGTGACGGTCTGGTGGTGAACGGCAGGGGGAAGCCTGCCGAAGACCACCACTGCCCTGGATGTAATGGACTATCATGACTCCTGCCCTCCGGAACGTAGCCTTCAACACTTCTGGAAAATCTAATAGGCAGCCGAAAGCCACCAGACAGAACGAATAAATTGAATTAGACCAATCAGCCCTCAGGAGAAACAGCCGGCGATCGAATGGCCTAGCGTCGTCCGCCGTACCGCGAAAAAATTGTACACTACTCGGACGTAGCGCGCCGGAGCCTTGCAGCGAATGTGATATCCGCCACCAAGCCGTCCGTATCTAGGCAGTGCGTCGAACCAGCTCTTGGTCGAACGCCCGCGGGTCGAACGCTCCAGCCGAGTGCTAACCCAACCTCTGGGGGGTGTGGAGCTCAAAATATTCAAAGCAGAAGGATGTCAATGATCGGTTACGGATAGCAGATTCCATTCACGGCTGATTGGTGGATGTCCGGAAAGATCCAAGGCGTTCGATTCAGGGCTTATTGGTGTACAAAATTTGTGGTGCACGGCTGCGTTCCCACGGCAGGATGCATGCAGTTCCACTGGCGACCTGGGCTGGTTGGTCGCAGTCCGTTGTCCGCAAGTTACAGTTCGAGCTTAAAAGTCAGGGTATGAAGTCATGATTCGATGCAACGTTCAGTGGTGGACAACCATTACTCTCTGGGCTATTCGCTTCAGAATATGGTGGCGTAAAGCTCCTTATATATAAAACAAGATGATGTCACGGGCTGTTTACTGACGGATGGCTTAATCCACGGCTGATTGGTGGTCATCCGGAAATATGATAGGCGTTCCTTTCAAGGCTGATTGGTGTACAAATTTGGTGATGCACGGCTGCGCACCCGCCGCTGCGCACTAGTACCCAGTCTGATACGGACCCATTAATATTGACACGTTGGCGTCTCCCTACTAGAAAATCTCTGATCCATTTGAGTACATTGCTGTCAATTCCCAAAGACTGCAATTTCCGCAACAGCTGCTCATGTGAGACACTGTCAAATTCCTTAGCAAAATCGAGGTACACTGCATCTACTGGCTCCCTTTCGTCCAGCAGGCAGGTCCATTCGTTCAGAGTAGACAAGAGTTTAGTGGTGCAGGATCTCCCGGCAATAAATCCATGTTGACAGTCTGATAGGAGATTTGGATAGATGTGGATTATTCTTGAGATTGGTAGATTAAAGTAGACATCCATGTAGGGAAGGTGAAACATAAAAATAACTGTGTAAAAATAACTGTAAGCAAACTGAAACATGAAAATATACCTGTAAGTGGTAACTGGTCACAACTTAACAAGTAACAACCAACATGTCGACATTAGTAACAGGCTGAGGTTGGCAGCATTACAACGAAATCTTTCGTACAGTTTTATTCTGTAATTTATATTATGTATGTATCATGCTGGTTTTTAAATAATATTTAATACTATTAAGTAAAATCTAAAGGCTTTATCTATAAATGTAGCGGTAGCGCTGTAGCGGCAAAACCTCGTATCGCTACTTAACATAGGCCCGTATCCTAAATAGGGCACTAGCACTACGAAGTAGCACTACGCACTACAAGCCGTAGTGCGTGCGACTACAAGCCGTAGTGCGTGCGACTACAAGCCGTAGTGCGACATGGAACACTACGGTTGGCATGCTAAATAGGGCACTAG